CGTAGCGGTCTACGGCAGGGGTCCCCAACCTTTTTTGCCCCACGGACCGGTTTATGTCAGACAATATTTTCAGGGACCGGCATTTAAGGTGTGGCGGAAATAATACAACAAAATAATATGGTATGAGCTGCATGAAAACTGTGGTGTTTTCGAAATATAATAATAAACACAAGGAGCGTCTAATCTTGCCGCAACACTCCAATCGCTATGGCAATGTTTAATGCCTTCAAAATACGATACAACGCAAATTCAAAGTGCATGAAAATGACGACTCACCACAGCACCGAGCTTGATTTTCTGCAACCAGACGGTCCCATCTCGGGGTAATAGGAGAGACAATGACACCGCAAGTGTGTGGTTTATGTCCAGTCTACTTCGTAATTTTGTTTTCGTCGCCGTTGCTGCATAATCCCCCCCCGCCTCACACAGGTAGGATGTCGGAAATAGCAAAAGTGCTATTGTGGCGATCTCAGAGTATTCAGACATAACTTTAATCCAGTTGTCTCGAACGTACTTTTAAGGCCGCCGTCATTTGCGATCTCCAGCAGTTTTTTTACTCATTTTGCGAGCTCCGGTGTTTGTTTTTAGCCTAATTGGCCGCGTTACGGAGAAGCGTGGCTTGTGGGGACCCCTGGTCTACGGTGTTTCACATCATATGTTAGCATTAAGCCAGCCGGACATTTGCTGGCAAAAAAATGGTTTGGGTGAACATTTTGATGTTAAAATACACAATGAATTTATTCTCATGTTTGACAGTAAACTTCTGTTATGTCAATAATTTTTCGACAGACTCCGTTTATCCCAATTTTTTTATCTTGTTTGTCGCATAACCGTCCAAGCTTGTGCGGAGGGATCCACAAAACCAGCAGCAGGAGCAACAGCAGCAGCAGTCGATGAACGGCATTTTTTGGGGCGGATAAAGCCGCCAGACGGCCGGCCGGGACTTCTCTCCGTCATCCGTCATTGATTTTGCAATCCAGCGGCATCCGAGCAGAACGGCAAAAGCTGTGCACCTCAGTCAGGGCGCTGATAGCCAATCTCTATTACCCACCTAACCCAAGGCCTCGGTTCAAATGGCTAACCCTCCCCTGGGTTGAGGCAAAGAGGCGGCCATGATGGATTTATGATCTGCTTAGTTCAAGCATCATCCCGTCTCCCTCACTTTTAGTATCCCATCACGAGTGACGCAACAGCAGTAGTACATGACGGGCCATCCCGTTTTTTTTTTTTTTTTTTTTTTTCACATCCGGTGGCAAAATATGAATGATGACTCCAAATGGTTGTCTCTAATCGGCTGCGAAATTGCCTCAGTAAATATGTTCGACCACAAGCACTCTGTCTCGCTGCTGTCGGCGGGTGAGAATGAAAACCGGCAGGGTAATAGGCTTGTACTTGTCACAGTGTTTAAGACCCGTGTTGGATTCACGCTTCATAATTGGCTTTTAATGCACAGAGACGGCTCGAGGGGAGGAAGTGGCAGAAAAGTGCCATGAAAGGAGGCCCGCTGTGTGGCCATAGTAATTCGGGCTTTTGTCCTCTAATTAAATGACCTCAGATGGGAGCGCTAAGCTCGGTTTTGTGTGTATGTGTGCAACCCCCTGATATGGAGGTTTGTGCCAAGTCGTCGGGTAATGAATGGGGCGTCTTCTACAAAGCCTGAGGAGGCAGTCTTTGTTCTTGTGGACTGTTTGGAAATTTGGCAAAAAAAAGAGAGTGTTTTTAGCGAGAGCTTTCGTGGGCCTCTTAGCATAGTTTGGACGTTGTTGGTAGGGACACGATTGCCCCCCAAGCTTTTGTGATTGTTCTTCAGAAAAGTCTGGAGGCCCCCTAAGCACCCTGGAGCCTTCCAGAAGGCCAAGTTAGTGTTAATATGCATGGTCACCTGTTTGTCAATCAAGACCAGCAGTCAGAATGAAACAAAATCCAATTCATTATGCATCTAATGAATGTGAATGTGAACATTCCCCTCGTGATCCAATATAATGAGGCTGAATACAAATTTGTCCAGCACAAGGATTTATATCGTCATAAAAATTTTAAGCAACATTTTTGCATTGATTCATACGATGCCAGACATTTCTGAACACATAGTTGCAGCAGTTTGTTGGCATTTATTGGCTATCGCCCTCATAATCAATGTTACAACCTATGAATCACACCCTAATCTTCTACTCAAAAGCTGTGCTGATCTGAAATCCAAAGCGATGCAACGCTGTCATCCACAGGAATCTTTATAGTACTTTATGAACCAGAATAAGACAAGCTGGGTGAGAAGTGGAAGTGGAAAACGTACACTTATGGAATTGTGGTTTGTGTTATTTTAACCTAAGCATATTCATAACCAATAACATCTCCATCAACGTTTAAATAGCATCTAAAAAAATTTAAAGAATTAAATGCTTGAAGCAAGTGAAATGCTCTTATTCCAAAACGAAATCGCTTACAAGCAGAGTTTGCCTTGATTTGAGATATTTGATCTTGATTAGATTTTGCAGTGCAGGGTTTCCCATTTTGCTGGCCATCGGGAAAAAAAAATGCTAAGACTTCTCCACAGGCTTCACATGATGATGAATGTGAAGCCAACACGCTATCAAAGCGTTTTAATGTTATTCCACTTAAAAGCCTTGAGATGCCTGGTGCTCGACTGCCATCTAATATTTATGGCCCACATTGTCGCAGCTTTGACTCACCGCGATTCTTTTGAATATCACAGCCAGTTTTCCTAGCACCCCGCTCATAAAAAGAATCCTAGAAAGGACATGTGAGCCCCAGGCCGTAAAGTTCAACCATCGCAAGTGTTTGTTGTCACCGCTACCGATGTTGGCTGCCGTGTGAATGAGCGTGTCCATTACGATTGTTGCCTTCTGCCAGACACCATTTTGTGGCCACCTGCCGCGATTCCACGCGTGTGCCAGACACGGGAGCAATGTGGCTCCATCTGTAACCAAATACAACTTTGATCCGGGGCAGCATATATAGCTGCACAGGCAGGTGGAAGACAAGGGGAAAGGGGGATATTTGTTCAGTCGTAGGAAGTAGGCTAGGTACAAATATGATTTTTTTTTTTTTTTTTTTTTTTACAGCAATTAATTATTCAGTTATCTGTTCTTCACTTGAGTACAGTGAACGCCCGCATCGTCGTAGTTGGGCATTTGCAAATTCACCTAAGACTTGAATTTTTCTAGGAGGTGGTGGGCAATTATCTTCCATTATTTGCTGAGAAAATGGAGGAGTAATACATGCGGCATCCCGGTGTTGTCACAAGACAAATGATGTAATGCACATTGACGGAATGTATCAGATTGCTGGAAAGCGGTTGAAAGGTTTGATTTTAACATGTTTAACAATAAAAAAATTATAGCTTAAAATAAAATATAGCATAGACAAGCATGCTTCACTTATGCCACGTCTCCTCATCCCCTGCGTTATTAACAAAGCCTTTCTGTTGTAACAGTGACAAATACATATTGTCAACTGCAACCGACTTTTTCTCCAAACCAGCATAAAAAGGAACCGGGCCATTTCCTGTTCAGTTGCTTAGCAAGCAGTGCCAAATATGGGAAAGCTCGCACTGGGCCACTGTTGTCCTACGCCATCCTGCATCCTATCTCATGATGTATGCCACAAAAAGCAAAGTGCCGTGTCAAAAGACCTTTACTGCCTTCATTTGAAAACAGACACAGTTATCACTTCAACTGCACTTCCTTTACACCAATTACGACTTCCCTTTTTAGCCGGGGTTTTGGTGGCATCTTCGGGTGTTTCAGAAATGACCTGCAAATATACGAGGAAGTACCGAGAAAACGTCAATATTGTGGAATTTTTTTAAAGAAAGTTGCATTTTTTTTTTAAATTGAAAAAAAATCTCTTGCCTGTCAGAAATCCAAGGACCCAAGAAGTTTGAGGACCTTTGATATCAAGGTGGCACGGCTGTGACAGCTATGAGCTCCCACGGATATTAAGGGCTCCCGTAATGTGCTGCCTCTTCTCTCTCTTTCTATCTCTCGCTCTCTCTCTCTTTCTCTCTCTCTCTCACACACACGCGCGCACGCACAATCCTCTCAGTCGTCCTTCCTGCAAGCTTCTCCGAGCATTGTCAACAGCAGTCAGTCTGCCATGAATTCAGATGAAGAGAAGCCTGCAGGCAACAAAGGCAAGAGCCCGCTTTTGTGTGCCATCTTTTCACACTACTCCAGTTTACACACACACCAACCTTCCACCCTGCTCATTTGTAGTGAATTGATGTGCCGTCCTACGTCCGCTAGCTTTCAAATAACTGTCACCTTCCAGTCAAACTGCCAACCTCTCACCCTCGGCCTGTCACCTCCGGCTCTCGTCTCGCAGCTTTTTATCATTTCTTCCTAACCCCGGTAGATAAATCCTGGCGGAGTAAATCAAGGCAAACTCACCTACACTGTTCGAATGAGATATTAAAACTAAAATAAGAACGAACCGCATCTGGTTTGACGAGGGGAAAGGAAAGCAAATGGTTCAGTGGCTATACAAGTTAACACGTTAAAACACCAGGTTTTACTCAAGTGAGGACTAGAACCCTGTACAGTTACATTTGAAAATGAAACAATTTTTTTTAATGTTGAATATATTTTTTAAAAAACAACATTAAATGAACTGCACGAATTCACTCTCGCATACAGATCATCAGGTGTACTCTGAGAAATGATCCAATTTCGATTGAATTGTCATTATTTGTTTACAAAGTACTAAAAATAATGTATTTTTATCCATTGTCTGTTTTCACTTCCGTGATTTGCGACAAACTCAGCCGCGTGCTCTGCCTCGTAAAAAAGGAGTGAAAACTAGGCGCCATCTTGTGGCATCCAGAGGCAATTATCAACCTTTTAGCAGGTCGTCAAGTTACACATGGGTTATGAATGCAGAAATCTACATCACTTACTTTCTATCTTTTTGTGACTTTTGTGTGTGTGTGTGTGTGTGTGTGTGTGTGTGTGTGTGTGTGTGTGTGTGTGTGATCCTTCCAGAGCGGGCCATTGCTCGGCACGAGGTACGGGAGATCGAACAGCGACACACCCAAGACGGCTTGCGGGAGCGGGACTCTTCGTGGGCGTCTGTATCCGAGAGCGACGACGATGTAGTCATCATCTACAACCGCGTTCCCAAGACGGCGAGCACTTCCTTCACTAACATCGCCTACGACCTATGCGGGAAGAACCACTACCACGTCCTGCACATCAACACCACCAAGAACAATCCCGTCATGTCCTTACAGGACCAGGTCATCATCTATTGCCTTTTTCTAAGTACTCACACTCTGCACTTAAGCACAAAGCCGAATTCCGAGGTGCTTGGGATGTTGTGTGCAATATAAATAAAAACGGATAAAGAAGGTTTCTCAACTGACAGCTGCATTTTTCTTGGTTCAAGGTGCGGTTTGTGAAAAATGTGACAGAATGGAGAGAGATGAAGCCAGCTTTCTACCACGGCCACATCTCCTTCCTGGACTTCACCAAGTAAGAGCGTGTGTACTTGACTCCTCCTTGTGGTGATCAAGTGCTCTGTAACTGCACAAGGGAGGGAAACTTTAGTGTTCAAGGGCACAAGTGGATTTTTTTTTTTCAACTGGCAGATAAGCAAGGCAAGATAAGATATCCTCTACTGATCTGCACAAGTTCAGGTTTCATAGCAGGCAAAATAAATAGTGTGAATAAGTCAATGTGCTCCTTATTATATTTTTTAAATGGGTGTGTTAACGATGTAAAATAATTTTTATATTATAACGTAATATGATAACGTCATCGTGTATTTGATGGCATTTTGTATTGTATAATGTAGAAAGAATTTGTGATGAATTGTGCAATTATTTTAGTAAATAAAACCATTCACTGATATTTTTGTAATTTATTATTATATATGATCATAAATCAATGAACCAATTAGTCAGTGAGATAAATGAACACAAATTAAAGTAAATCCATGTAAAGTATATAAAATGGTTGATCACTCTTTATTTAGATTGAATGTATTTTTTTATTAATAAGCCCAGAATACACTGCCACCGTGTGTTCCATTTTTCAAAATTAATTTTTAACCCAAGAGAGTCACTTTTTCAGGTTCGGGGTGAAGATCAAGCCGATCTACATAAATGTGATCAGAGACCCCATTGAAAGGCTGGTTTCCTATTACTACTTTTTGCGTTTCGGAGATGACTACCGACCCGGCTTGAGGCGCAGGAAACAAGGAGACAAAAAGGTCTCAGTCCAAAGACACACCCGCACATATTCACGAGACCGACACTGAATGTATTAATTTCATCTTTTTGCCCCGTTTCAGACATTTGATGAATGTGTATCAGCCGGCGGCTCCGACTGCGCCCCGGAGAAGCTTTGGCTCCAGATTCCCTTTTTCTGCGGCCATTACTCTGAATGCTGGTCAGTGATGACAACGACAGGACCAAACAAATTGACCGTTGGTTTGCGACATGAAATTTAAAAGGACAACTACTGCCAAATTTTGTCTGCATTCCATTTTAATGGGAAGGGAATCCAAATGAGACATTTTTGTATCGGCAAGATTTATTTGACCACACAGACTCCGCGCCAAAAAGAATTGAAAAGAGCAGAGGCCAATTCCTTTTTTTTCTTATCTGTCAACTAAAAATATTTGGGTCTGACATTGAAAGATAAGTGAAATCAAGATTTCATCTTTTATTTATCTTGATTATTTGTGACAAAACAACACATTTTTAGGGTGAGTAAAATTATTGGAACATATAAACTAAAAGAAATTGTGCATAAAACTCGATATTTAGATGATCTAGCCATACGCTGATAACTCATTAAAAAATTGCGATCATTATCCAGGTAACGGTAATCTGCAAAGATTGAAAGTAGGCAAGTGGACTCTTGTTAAATGTGTTGTGCAATTCTTGTTTTGACAAAAACATTCAAAAATTCATTCAGCAATTATAAAGTTTGTATGCCTGTTGGCTAACGACATGCTCTAAGACAAAAAAAAAATCTGGTAAGAAGAAATTGCATTGAGTTGAGCTATTTAATGTGGATTAGAGTTGATTTTTCATAGTGTCGGCCTTCGTGTGGAGTGAATTTAGCCCACTATTTCCATCACGGAGATCAAACAGCTCCCATTTTTTGGTTTCACAAGCTTTTTTTTTTTTTTTTAACAAAAAAAAAAATTACACCTACACAGAATATTTCGGTCTTTATCCTTCCTCTTTGTCCTAATCCTTGCCTGCGTTATCTGTCCTCCTTTCCCTTATCTTGTCCTGTGAGCATTTCCCATGTCCACGTGGGATTAAAAATGCCAACGCTTGTCTTTGACAGGAATGTGGGTAGCCATTGGGCTCTGGAGCAGGCGAAATACAACCTGGTGAACGAGTACATGTTGGTCGGCGTGACGGAAGAGCTGGAGGACTTTGTCATGATGCTGGAGGCCGCTCTGCCACGCTTCTTCAAAGGAGCCACCGATCTGTACAAAACAGGTGCGCGTCCAACTGGCTAGCCGTCCTTTTGTTGGCCCAATGAAATTGATTACGCCACTTCCACTCGCGCGTCACGCCAACGTATGTACTGATTTGTTTCAAAGACTGCAGCCGGGATGAATGATGGCGAGCTCTGCTAAAATTAAATCCCGCTCACATATTGAACACTCCAAACAAAGCATTGTGAACAGAATTTTGCAGCTGCCAAATGGCAAATAATTAGATGAGGATTAACTTTTGGAAAATGATGAAACAGCGGCGAGGTAACATTGTCATTGGCTTTATTATTGTCTTTTCTGACGATCTCTGAAGCTTATCGATACACTTCCTCAGTCAAACACACAAATACAAAATGAGAGAACTGGCAAGGAGCTGCTGTGGGCGGGCTACAACTCACGCTCACATGCAGGCTAACTGATTCCAGCCCCTGACGTCGCTCACTAGGCCACCTTGAAGTCGCAAATCTAACACACGGATCCGACCGTACATAGCGTAATGACACTTTCTGAAATCCATCCATCCATCCATTTTCTGATCCGCTTTATCCGCACAAGGGTCGCGGGGAGGGGGGTGGGTGCTGGAACCTATCCCAGCTCTCTTCGGGCAGGAGGCGGGGGACACCCTGAACCGGTTGCCAGCAAATCGCAGGGTACACAGAAATGAACAACCATCCGCGCTCACACTCATACATAGGGACAATTTGGAGTGTTCAATCACCCAGGCATGTTTTTGGAATGTGGGAGGAAACTGTAATACCCGGAGAAAACCCACGCAGGCATGGGGAGAACATGCAAACTCCACATAGGAAGACTTGAGCTGGGTTATCGAACCCACGACCTCTACATTGTGAGGTCGACACGCTAACCACTGGTCCACTGAGCCGCCACATTCTGAAATATGTTTTCTAAGCTTTTTCCAATATTTATTAAAAACGTGTTACAAAAATATTCATGCATGTTTATAGAGAGTTATAAGCTTGATCAGAGAAGGAATTTACCTTGTGAGGCAAGGCGCCACTGAACACCCCCCCCATCCCCTCCCTCTTCTTGTAGCCATATTGATGAGGTACCAGAGGCTATTGTGTACACCTCTAAAAATATATTCCCTTGTCAGGGTGTGAAGTCTTGTTAATAACGTGACTAATTATGAAGGTCAATTTTTACATCTGGTAATATAACCTTCTATTCTCCATTCCTCTCACTTGAGTCTTGTGATGGATGCGATCACCGGGAGCGCCGCAGCCTCACATCACCTCGGCTCCACTAAATGTTAAGCAGCATCCAAATAGAGACCTTTTCTCCCTTCGTGTAATCACCGAAGAGGAATGACATCAGAGAATAGAGTGAAGCGAGATTAAAAGGCAAAAAAAAAAATATGATGGTGACAAACGTCTGCTTTATGCGCTCAACCTTATTCCTGCCTCCTTGTTCAATCACGCTTAATTAGTGTCTGAGCAGATCCCAGTAATTACCAATCACTCAGTGAAACCTGGCGTTTTCCCTAAGTACTTGCTAAGCCTCATTTCACCACGACCGATCGGCATTCTTCTATTTTTAGGACTTGCGCATATATGCTCAGACTTCAGAAGCCATGGAAACGAGTCAACTTCGACATTATGTGATTGCACATCTCCTTCGAACTGGGTTGTGGTTTCAGACTTAACAAGGCACACACCTGCCACCACCTGATGAACCCCAAATAAATTTCAACTGTTTGTGTCGGCCTTTCTTGATGGTTTTTTTTTTTTTTTTTTTTGCTTTGTAGCAGAAGCTCGATTGTGTGCAAACATTATAACTGCTGATTGGAACCGATGGTAATTCCCTTCCTCAACACAACAGCACTTATCACCACAAGAACACCATACCGACAATCAAGCATGCTTGTGACAGCATTATGCTTTTGGGATGATTTCTTCAGCTGGAACTGGGACTTTTAAACAAGGTGGAATTAATTACATTATTTATAGATTTTGGGGGGGGAAATAGGAGTCAGTTTGAGCAGAAAACTTTCAGGCTTCTGCTAGAAAGCAAAAAAATAAAATAAAATAAAATGTCAGGAAAAGCCTACTAAAACATCTGAAATGGATTTGCAGTTGATCAGTGGCACTTTAAAGGGCGGTAAGTCTGTGCCGACTCCCATTTAACATGAAACGGGTTACTCCTGAACGCAGCCACATTCCCCATTATGAGGCTGTGCACGTTTTTTTTTTTTAACTTGCCTCTTGAAAAGGTCACATTAATGGTGGAAAGGGTTCTGAAATGATTTACCTTGGTCTCATTTTTGGATACCACAGAAACCTGGCATTTGAGCACGAGTGTTGTAAACCTTTCAGGCTAATGTTGTGAGATGAGTTTGAAATAGTATTCAAGTGTTTACTGATCGGTAATTTGTTTTAATCGTCTCGTTCTGTACTTAGTTTTCCACAATTAGCAGCGGGGCTCGGGCCTTTCCCACCCACGCACAGCAGAGGAATACTGTATAAATGGATTATTATTTATTTTATTTTATTTACTTATTTTTAGAGCACACAATATCTGTGAGAAGTACTCATTAGTATGTATTACTCCGACTGGCTTTGGATGAAAGAAAAAAGAAAACTCTCATATGATTGGGGCATAAATCACTCCCGTATTGTCTGGAGCTCCTCCTCATCGCTCTTCTCATTAGCATAATGAATGTATATTTAATTTCATGAACCGCAACAGGTTTTTACCGTAACATGTAGTCGATTAAAATAATACCTGTCTGCCAACGTCGGCAACTAAGCATTATTGTTTTTGTAAATTTTGTACTGTTACCGTGCTATTTAGTGTAATTATATTTTATATCTCACGGCGAGCCTTGATTCTCCGTCTCTCCCTCTTGTGATGACAGGGAAGAAATCCCACTTGAGGAAGACCAGCGAGAAGAAGCCGCCCACCAGGGAGTCCACCGCCAAACTGCAGCAGTCGGCCATCTGGAAGATGGAGAACGAGTTCTACGAGTTTGCCCTGGAGCAGTTTCAGTTTGTCAGGGCCCACGCGGTGCGGGAAAAGGATGGGGAACTCTACATGTTGGCGCAAAATTTCTTCTACGAGAAGATCTACCCCAAAAACTAAGAAGGGTGGGACGTATCCTCGGAGCAGTTGGGGGGCGAGATGAGGATGACACAAGGGCGAGACGTCCAGGTGTCCGTTGGTGGAAATGTGATGGGAGTTAAAACGACTTGACTACTTGTGATGGCATATGCCGTCAAACTGCAAACAGTTGGTGTTGGTCACAAATGGTGGTGGGAGGAGGGGGGCGAGCTCGTGTTCCGTCCCCATCCCTGCAGGTCGGCGGCTTCCTTTCACTTCCATTTCAGAGGGCCGGCAGGGGCGGGGGGGGGCCTCAGGCAGGACATGACAATGTGCTGTTTGGTTGTGTTTAGCTATTTGAGCCCCAAAATTGCCTCGCGATTTTGCGGGCCATCATTTGCAGCCCGACTACATCGTATATTTTATAGATGATTTGGGGGGGGGGGGCGGGGGAAAAAAAAACAACAAAAAAAAAACAGTACAGTGAACCCCGCTTTTTGCCATGGGATAGGGACAGAGCCCTGAGAGCTTAATGACAGTTTATGATTGCCTAAAGTTGCCCCAAGTTGGCAACAAAGGACTATTTTTGTCTAAATGAAGATCCTTATGCCACTTCAACATAGTTCCTTGGCACCAAGATGCCACAAGATGGCGGCAAATGTCCTAAGCACAAAAACAGACTAGTCGTGCTCTCAGTTTCTCAACGAATAATTTGGTGAATGCTGAACTTTAAATTGGTTACAGTGGTCGCCTGGCATACAAGTTGCAGTTGTTTGCATGAACAGCATTGAGAAAATTAGCACTGGGTTATATTTTTTAACTACCGATACTGTACTGTAGTATTTGTGTGTTGAATGTGCGTGGCCTAGTGAGTGATGTCAGGAGCTGGAGTCAGGTTGGCTGGTTCGTCTGTGTGTGATCGTATGGGCGTGAGTTGTGGCATACAGAAGCTTCTTGCGAGTGTTCTCATTTTGAATTTGTGCATTTGACTCTTTCACCAACCTGCTAAAAGTGAGTTGCTGAATATTACCTTCATTGTTCTGTTTTTTTTGGGGGGGGCGGGGGGGGGGGACTCAAACTTGCAAGTTGAGGTGCTCGTAAATCATGGTAACACCATCCTATTAGACAGCGCTTTGGCGGCATCTTGTGGCATCTTGCGACGTTTAAAAAAAAAAACATGAATGGATGATTTTTTTCCAGCAAATAACAGAGAACAGGTTCCACAGAAAATAAAAACACAAATAGTTGAGTTCGTGAATAGCAAACCACGACTAGGTGGAGCTTCACTATATTGTCTTTTGGAAACGACGTGTACCCTGCTTTGCTCAGACCTCCAGTGAAAAATTGATCGAGCTGTAGTATTTGGACTTGAACAAAGATGTTTGAGGTTTTTATGAAATGTAAAAAAATATATATAAAATCATAATAATAGGTGTGTATGTTTTATACCGTGTGTTCTGGTTTGCGCTGGCAAGCGCATCTTTCTAGCCTCGCCGCTTCTTTCCATGTGCTTTTTTTTAATGACAGCGCGTATGAAGGAACGCAATGAAGATGCTGCTTGCTGTAAATAGGAGATTTTCGCTATGTCACTGCTTCATGTTTGAAATTAGCTTGGTTTACATATATATATATATATATATATATATATATATTTAATTAAAACAAGTCTGTGTTTTTGTAATTATTCAGTAAGTTGTTCTTATGTATATAACTGATTTTATTTGTTCGTTATGCTGCAATGCCAATGGCCTAAGGACTAACTGCCACCTTTTTGAAAGCTGCAATCACAACTCATTGAACAATTTGAATACAAATAGATGATGAGGGTTTTTGTTTTTTGTTTTTTTGTGTGTGCCTTCATTCTGCCCAAAACAATGCTGCAGCTGTGTCCGATACAAAATAAAACAACATGGCTGTATTTTTTTTTTCCGACGTGGTGAGATAAAGACTGGAAAGATTCACAACCGGTGACCGATAGAAGGAGACAGACAGCAGGCATTTGTTTTCATTAAAGTTCGAATCACAGTGAATGACTAACATCTTGATTTGTTTTGATGTAATATACTGGTAAATCTTGCTGACGTGCATTATTTTGTATTATCCAACCATCCATTTTCCGATCCCCTTGTCCTCACAAGGGTTGCGGGGGGGTGCTGGAGCTTATCCCAGCCGTCTTAGGGTAGTCGGCGGGGGACACGCTGAACCGGTTGCCAGCCAATCGCAGCGCACACAAAAACGAACACACTCACACCGAGGGAGAATTTTGCCATGCCATGCATGCTTTTGGAATGTGGGAGGAAACCGAAGTACCCGGAGAAAACGGGGAGAACATACAAACTCCACACGGGAAGGGCCGAGCTGGAATCGAACCCGGTACCTCTGCACTGTGAGGTCGACACGCTAACCACTGGAACACCGGGCTGCCTATTTTTATTTTTTTTATGATTCTCTACCCCGTGCAGCCCCCCCCCCCCCCCCACACACACACACACACACAAAAAGTTTGAAGATGAGGAGTAAAATGATATGAGTGAAAGTTTACGGGGCCAAAGCCCTTCACTTATCTGAGCTCATATAATCCCTGGCCAGTCATCAATAGTTGGACTCATCCCCCTTAATCTCATACTGTAGTCCCGTAAGAGCTTCCCGGTTTTGGCCTTATGACACACAAATGCTGTAATGTCCATCCGTCACTCTCATCTGTTTTCCATCATGGGTAAAGCTTTTCGCCCAAATTTGCACGCCGCGTTGTTTTGAGAAAGTGAAATGTGAATTTGCATCCAGAATGTTTGAGGCTGAAATTCCATTTGCCCCAAAACTGTCACATATGCGGTCACCATGAAACAACATTTCACCCTCAAACATCTTTTGATTATATGATCTTATATATTTGCGTCCTTCGCGTGCTCGGCATGCCATGTCAACCTCTTTGAAATACGGTGGTAATTTACACCTTTACAGAACGTGTTCGGCGGCATTTGGAGTGGCGACATATGATTGAAATTCCTGAAAAACCCCAGGTCGCCACAATGTCACAGTGAGGATTCCAAAAGCTGCCTGAAGCCGCCTGGAAAACCGCACATTTTCAGCTTAAGACGGAGCATTCATAACTCTGCTGGAGCAACAGCAGTTTCCTGCCGGCTCCATGAAACTAACCAATCATTATATTACTCTTATCCCAAGCAATAATCCATTTTATTGGAGGCAAACAGCCACGGACCAAAGTTGCAATGGAGAACATGATAGCACTCGTTGCTTGTAGACTTAAATCCCTCACGTAACTGTTTCGCACAAGCTTAATCTTAGGCATAAGTGACATGTATATTGCTTATCCTGTTCAGGGTCACAGGGAACGTGACCCTATTCCAGCTGACTTTGAGCAAAAGAGAAACAACACTCTGGAGTGGTCGCCAGTCACTCACGGGGCACCATGACTGATAAATACATTGGGCGGCACGGTGGACGATTGGGTAGCACGTCCGCCTCGCAGTGGGAATGTGTTGTTTTGATTGGATAAAAGTTGCGCCGACACTAGCTCGCTCTTAAACTGCATGTGACATGTTATCAATAAGTGTATATTTGTACAATTGACATTAAAGGGGAAGTCAAGTCAAAATTTTCTTTGTAATAATACATCAGGTTTATATCGCGTTTTTCAGGACACACTCAAAGCACTTCAGAATGGAAACTTTATTCACAAACTACGTGATATAGCCACATCTGTTCAGGCGCAGGCAGACGCGAGCGTGGTTGCCAGTGCGCGCCCACAGCCCCTCCGGTCGTCACCAAACGTTCACAGCCAGCCCTGCAGGAACAAGACAAGAAATCATACTGCAAATGAGTAACTCACAGATGCAAAGAAAGGCTATAAGGACTCATACCAGACACCCAAATTCATCATTAATGGATTGTACAGTAATGAAGATGCTGTTAAACCCGCTGACGTCTGCAGTGTGACAGTTGCGCCAAACAAGAGCGTTTACTTTGGAGTTGCCAAGCCAGCTGGATCAGAAGGAGTTGCTATGACGAAACCAAAGGACAAGAGTTTGAGTCGTGTCCTCTGGGGCTGCTGCGTGACATGTCACACCTCGACGAGAAGACTAACTAGCCTCTGCGCTATCTAATTCGCTACGAAACAGCCCTCACATGTCCTGACTGGAAGCTCTTTGTAATGATGCGAACAACAACATCATTGTGGTCTCATAAACTGAACATTGCCCTCTTAATAAAAATTAGAAGAAAAAAAAAACAGCGAGGTCTTGTCGGGTGAAATGTATTTACCTTTTGCATCCATTCAAGCCTATGATAATGTGTGCTGTGTTGTCATGTATCCACGGTGACCATCGTCAGAGGCTGATGGGGGGGGACAGGTGCTCCGGACAGGATGCACCATGAATCATGTCATCATTATGATGTAACAGCCATTAGTCACGATCATGCTCACAAAGTGCACACAATCCAGGCGTGATATTTTACAAGGCGAGGTGGAAAAAGTATTCTTTTGCAAACAAAGGGACATGCAGTATAAGTGATATATTATAATTATTTTAACTACGTATTTTATGAAGTACAATCAAGAATATTGAATTTTTTTTTAAAAATGCTAAAATCCTTGGTTGAAATATTTTGGATTTCCAGTACTAATGAAGCAAAGGTTGAGTGAATCCTAATCAATTTAACAGAGGAAAAGATTGAATACAATGAACCCCCACTCTTTGAGCGTTCCAAACTAATTCTAGGAGGGATGAATGAAATATGCAAACCATGCAGTCAATTTATACTTATTTACTCTCCACTGCTACACGAGACAGCGTAACGTTTGTCTTTTTTACGACGCCATTGTTATCTATTTGGGATAATCATGAGTTACTTACAAATAATCTATTCATTTAACAGTGTGAATGGCAACATTGCTAGGAGCTAAACTGGGCAAGATAGCTGTTGGGGGAAAAAAGCACATTTTTATCGGCAGTGTAACAATATTGAACCAAGGCAAATAGTTTCAATGGGAAGTCGAGTCAAAAATGTTCTTAAAGTTACAGTATGTTCTATGCTGCCCCACTAATCTAAACATGTTATTCTGATAAATATTGCGTTTGAGAAATATCAATTAAGCAGCAAAATTCACCCATTTTTATCCATCACAGTTGCTCAGGGCTCAGGTAATGACCAACCACGGCTCAGCTTTCGAATATCACATGACCAAACTCAGAAACCAGGCTCTTCAAAAAACACTAATGAACAGTCAATATAATTTTTTCCAAGAAGCACAGGGGAAAATATGTGAAAATTTTTCATTAAAAAATTTGATATATATGAAAAAATATTGAAAAACATTTTTCTTCCAGATTAAGAAAAAAACTGTACAACCATTTTTGCTAATGGAATTTCCATTCATTTCAATGGGCAAAGATGATCTGAGATACATGGGTTTTTTGAGGTTTGAGCGCGGTCATGGAACGAGTTAAACTTGTACCTCAAGACATCACTGCATATACGGTTTGGAACTTTTTTTTTGCATTGTGACATTTTAATGTATGTTCCTTGGCGCAAGAGGGGTTGGGAAACACTTCGTTAGGTGCAGCTTATGCCATGCAGTGGATAAATGGATTTAATTGTTCTGGTGGAAGTTGTCACCATACGTGGCTGGCATAAATAGGTGAACAAAGGAACACTAAATGCAACATTGAAAATGAATGGATCATATTTGGATCCGATAATTGAATTTGAATGTCTGCACCAATGCGCACAGCGGTTGGGAATCACTGCTTTGCGCACTAATTTCAAGCAAAAATGTTGGTCCAACAGGGCCCTCCTCGTCCCCGATGTTCGTGTTAAGTTTCGAATGTGTGGAGGTGATTAGCAGGGGGGCTCCTTTGTATAATCCTAACTTTTTGGGAACGTGAGTGATTTGAGTGAGATGAGTTTGGAGGTGGTCGGTACTTGTTGGCGGTGACTCGGCTTCTCTGGGCGGACGCTTCCACCCTTAACCACCGCCTCTTTCTCCAACTACACTGAGATAGCCTTTAGTCTTCACTTAAATTTTTTTTTTTTGAAGTAGCGAGCACAGCGGCGCGGGCGGGCGCGGAACAAGACAAGACAACCATGGGGAGTTTATCTTACCCGAGATGACCGAAAATCGACGTTTGTGCCTGGAAACGTCCCAAAAAGAAACTTGTTTTCGGAGTTCCACCTCCCCTCCTCTCTCCCCGTAGGATTTGATTCAAAGGCGACAAGCAAGATGGCCGCCGACTCCTTGCAGGTAGGAAAAGTTGACAACTGTTGACGAAAAAGTGAAAATAAGTTACTTGGGGATTGGGACAGAAAGCCGAGGGGCAAAGTTTGACTTCACTGGGGCTTTGTCGACGAAGCCGAGAAGTATGAGTGTGAGGTGCGCCCACAAAAGTTTGTCTGGTGGTGGGCAATGATCCTAGGATTTGAGGCCTGGGAAACAATTATCCAAACTTTTCTACTAATCCATAAAATGTCCCACGTTTTCTAACCGGTGACGTTACATTCATATCATAGCCACGATGTGAACTGATCACGACTTCCACTCGAGTGATGGTTAAACGTCAACGTGCAGGGATCTTGCTAACCTTAATGTTTTCCCTATTTGCTATATATAGCATTATTGACAATATCGTCAACTTGTCTCTGCCACGCAAATTGTACACAACACATGGACGTGTCACTTATGAGAGAGTCATTAGTTCCCTCCAGTGTGGTTAATCATTCACTTATAGGAATATTTCTAACACCGAGTCGTGTTTTCCTGTCTTTATATTTGCTATAGTTACATTGGTGACAATATCGTGAACTTGTCTTATCTTTGCCACCAAATAGTACACAACACACGTACATGTCACTTGTCGAAAGGTCACTACTCCCCTCCAACGGTGGTTAAACCTTGGCTTACATGATTTTGCCAACCTCAAGACACGTTTTACCTTCTGTATTTGCTAAATTTAATATAACTGGCAATATCGTGTGCACTTGTCTTTTCTTTGCAATGTCAATCGTACACGCCACATGGACATGTCCCCCTGTCAAGGTGTGACAGCAACGCACAGACTGCACATGAAAAGTGCACGTTGTTGCCTCTTTTACACCGCGTAGCAGTGTGTTTCATAGGTATTCCCTCCCTCTATTGTATTATTTCGTAAAACAAAAAGCCATGAGTCACGACTGAATGTGGTTTCACTTGAGTGACGTCACTCTCGAGGTGACTTTCCCAGAATAATAAACTGCAGCTGTCGCATACCAATAAAGGATGATATATCAAATTCTGAGGCTACTCCGGCTGCATTTTTTTTTCTGTGCGGTTCATAAAATCAGGGGTTCTCATTAATATTTGTCAAATGTGGGCACGTGAAAGCCCGTTGAGACTCTTCTATATTGACTTGACTTGACCTAAGGTGTTAGGAGACCACTAGGTTGTTGCTATGACTGTTTCATAGTAATACTCAAAGGGGAAGTCCATTTTCGAAACAATAATATGTGCAATGCAGCCCCACAAGTCGAAGCACAATATTCTGATTAATGTTCTATTTATGGAGTTTACCTGAGCTCCAAGCAACTGTGATGTCATTTTCGGTCAGCAGCAAGAGGCAAAATGGCTGCCCCTTAGATAAAGAAAGATGGGTGGATTTTTGCTCCTTAACTCATATTCCACAAACACAATATTAAGTGTTTAGATTAGTGGGGGCACGTAAAACATATTATTGTAAGGAAAATGTTTGGGTGGACTTCCCCTTTAAGGCTACTGTAGACAGAAACTGGGCCAACAGGTGGTGATGATGGGTTAGTGTGACTGTAACATATTCTGGGTGTTAACCTGCCTCCGGTTTTGACTTTACTTAGCTAAAGTAAACAACTACAGACTCTACAAAGTAACAATATATTTTTTTTTACTGTCAATTACACTATACACAATATCCATTTTGATCATTTGTTTTAAAAAAAAAAAAAAACAAGTTTCTTGAACATGGCCCGAGTTTCATTCCAATTTAACATTTGAGTAACGACTTGTCACGAGTGACATTTTAACACCTAACTGCATGCTTTTTTAATAGTCTTACCACACATTTGACTTTATTGTAGCCTGTAACACAAGGCAGATATGTGACGTCTCCATCTGAACACTTGAAGCGCCGTAAATTAAGCACAAAATTAAGAGGGAATATAATGCTCGGTTTTGACACTGAGAGAGCTTTTTATTTAAGTGTATGTTCATGCTTTTGATTGCAGTTTACATTACACTTCATCCTCGGTTCACCTCATAAACTAGATATACTGTAATGTTATACATAGATAAGTTCTTATGAAGGGACCGTTGAATTGATCAAAGTGACAAAGCTGCTCCTGCTCTCTGTCTTCATATTAAACCCTTGTCCAAATTTGACAACACCGCTGACCATTAATATGGTTCACGACCTATAGGTGACTAGATATATGTATTTCTCTGTGTTTTATGGCCATACGAGAGTTGACCGTGGGATGGAAGGCGACTCAGATAGGGATCATGCAGAAGGGAAGGCGAGGGGAGCAGGAGCAGGATAATGGCCTCAACTTTTCCATTGTACTATTGTTTGAATGAAGCGCTTGTTGGAGGATGTTGAGATTTCCAGATTTTATGAACAACTTAGTCTCGGACCTAATATTGCCCTAAGCCTACCAGTCTCCTCTCATGTGCTTTAAAAGATCTGTCGAAGTTGGACACGTGCATGTAACAGTTGTTGACCTTTTGTAAGAGCGCAGTCGTTCGGTTTACCCTTGGTGGCTGCCTGCGGGTTAGTTATAGCGGTATATTTTCAACAGCTGCGACTGCATGTGGCTGGTATTGTTTTCACCGTGTGCGTGTGCTGATAGACTCCAACAGTAACTCTTTGTGATTTGCTGTGTGTATATTGTACCCCTAAACATGCATTAAACACAATGCAAGATACATTTGTGGGCACTTTAAAAGCATTTCTTTGGATGTGAATAATTTCCAGACATTTTTGAATGTGTTTGGTTTGCCACTTTTGGGGTATTTGACAAATCGTTTAGGAATATTAATCCTGCATACGGATCCATATTTGATCAATATTTCCATACATAATAGTGTGGTGCCTTGATTTACGAGTGAGCCGACTAACGAGTTTTCCAAGATACGAGCCGTCGTGGCTGTTCATTTCTACACTCAGCTGTGGTACATAAATGCATGAACAAAACTAACATCGATGACAGGATGGTCATAATTACGCGATTATAAATAAAAATAAGAATTAACATATTGTCCTCGTTTGGGATCCTATTGCAGATCTCTCCTCAGAAATAAATTAACTTAATTTTAAAGGGGAAATCAACCTCAAAATTTCCCCTTTAAGCAACAGATACCTGAACTCAAGCGGTGCCGCAACACATGTAGACTATCACAACACTCAGTCATATGCAGTATTCTATATCTGCAAAAAACAGCCGATACAATCCCATCTATTACATTCACAATACAAGACAATATTGTATTGTATTATAAACGTTTGAGTGGCTAGCCATTAGCTTAGCCGTAGCTCGGCTCTGCTGCCCGGCCTTTACTTTTCCCTCCACTGCATAATTCGCCCGCCAGATCGAACAGCATCTTCTTTGACTGTCACCATCTTTTTTGTGGATGAATAAAATGTTATATAATGTAACATAGTGTATGTGGATCCTCAAAACGCGATCCAGGCACAGTGCATGTACGTCGACTTTGAGCGTTTCAGTCAAAGCACGACCGTTGTGACTACGTTAGCTTGTCTGCAAAAAGCTGAAGATAAGTTTCATTGAGAAAAGTTTTAAATGGATGAATTTGTGAAACGTAAGATGTGAATATGTGGCGAATGGCTCTATTATTGTGTTCAATTGAATTGATGAATATCCCACGCAGCCAATGCCCATTGCTCATTCCCACTTGTTTTGAATAAGCAACTTTATTTGTGCTGCACTTTGAAAGGGGCGCTCTTATCACCAGAGTGAATTGTTATCGTCTGGGTGTTGTTTAAATAGTTGTTTATAATGTTTGTTCCTCTGCTGTAGCGCACCAGCGTGGGAGGGCATGATGGATGGCCAATGTTACGTTTTTAACTTGGGTTAATTTTAGCCACCGGAGTGAGATTAGGTCCCATTCCGGGCTGCTCTGACCTCACCGAATGAGAAGCTAATAGGGATTTGGCCGTCTCTGCTCAGACGGTTTATCTTCCCCAGTTTATGTCACCGGCGCGTGTGAGAGAGCCAAAATGAGACGAGAGGAGAAAATCTGGTGAAGTGAATGAATGAGAGTGGCTTTGAATGGAGCCTCTGCCTGCAGTGATCTCCGCTTTTTAGTCAACGTCCTCTTCGCGCTTTGCGATGGCAGAACTTCAGTGGGGCTCTTTTGACCACCGGTTAACTTGTCCAAACCTGCCTGGGATGGTTTGGTCAGCCGATCTCGAGATGGAATTGGCTGAAGCTGATGATATTATGGTAAGGTTACAACATTTTGACAAATGTGCATTTGTACAAGCTAGAGATGTCCTGATTACGCCTTTTTTGTTTTTTTAATCACCCAAGTCCAAATCCGAGTGCTTTCAATCCCGATCCGATACTTAGGCAATACATGAAGAAATATATATATTAATTTGTTCTTCGCTGCACCTCTATAAGAGTTCATGACAGTCAATGTGAGACGGTATGCTTTTTTTTTTTTTTTTTTTTCTTATCTCAGTATAAACTCAGTTCAGCTGACGAAATGACATGTAAATGTCTGGACTTTATGGCAGCTATTCTGCCAAATGTCTGCCGATTTGACTTGCGTGCGCATTTATTTTTTCTTACCAAGTAATGATACCAAAGAAAAATGTTTGATCTGAAGTCAGAGCGATTGAACCTTGGTGTTCTTTTTTTAAATAATGAAATGACACGGTGCTGCCTTGAGATAAGGTTTCATTTGTTCCAATATTGATGCAATTCATAAGAATGCAAAGAATTATTTTTTTTTTTGCCAGTCGTAGTGCTTCAATTCAATGGATGTTGAGCTGCACTTGATGGCGTCCGCTCCTTGGCCACCTGGGTGGAGTGTAATACAGACAAACGGATATGCTGTTATATGGAGACGGTTCTCAGCAAAGATGCTGATTGTTAGTCCTTCTATGGCGTTTTGGATCAGAGTGGCTTTAAATAGCATGAAGAACCTTTTTTTTTTTCTTCTTTTTTGACTATTTGAAGTGAGTTGAGCTCACTGCCACCATACAGCTCTCGTGTCTCGAATTTTTGCTTGCAAGTCAAAGGCTCGTATCTCAATGCACCACTTTAAATGAATTATTCATTTTAAGTTGAGTAAGTTATGCTTGGAAATGTTGCAGACTTTTCTTCCCGTCTGGTTAATTAATCAACTGTCGTTTTTACATTTGGTCATAGCACTGTACGTTTTTGTGGTTGCATTTCATGACATATTTAAGAAAATGTGGGTCCCGGTAAGGAGCCAAATTTCGGAAAAGTATTTGTGGTTCGACTGTATTTAATTCTTCCATTTTTTGAAGAACTACTTTGATTAGCTATGAAAGGCCTAATTCTCAAATCAGTCATGAGTGAAAATAAGCCTTGTTTGCAGCCTCGGTATAATGGGATCGGCTCGTAGCACGTCACCGCTGTTTTCACGATGACCTCTGACACTAGAAAGGAAGTGCCTCCTAATCCTTCTGTCACCGATGTGGAGGCGCCTAGAATAGTCACCAGCGACTGAAAACGGTCGTTTGACAGCAGGATATTCATGTTGACAGTTATGGAGGTGTGACCCTCAAGTTTGATCTGATACATGCTTGTCGGTCTTTTCCACAATCCTTTCTCCTTTCGTCACAACGGCTTATCTCAAGGTATTCAGAAAGTGTTTGGAACAAGTTACTTGTATGTTAGAGTCGCGGCGGGTAGAACTGGTTGTAGTGCGGAGGGGAAAAAAACAAAAACGAGGCAACTCATATGGTGTGCACTCCCCCACATGGAGGTGCTTTGCCTGGACCTCACGGTCTGGCTAAGAGCCCTGTGCCGAGTACTTCAGTTAATCCCCGCATCTCATTGTTAAATTTACACCCGCGAGCTGGCTAGCACGGCAATGCTATAACAAGCCTGCTTGAATAAATGGCAATTTGTTCAGCTTTGACTTGACCACTTATTTTTTAGCATGAGGGAGAAGTAAAAACCATTGGAAATGTCTTTTATTTGTATGGTCTTGCCTTTTTTAGCGTACGTAGACCTATTACAGGCGGGTCTGGATGGAACGTATCCCCCCCACGATAAAAGGGGGTTCACTGAACTACTTTCTCAGCCGACATTACATTGTTGTGGAGCCAATACCGTGTGGGTGCCAATAGCCGCATGCTCAGATGAAAATACAAGAGACATGGCTGTTTTCGTCTTCATTATTCTTGTGTGTCAACATCTCTCAGTTCAATTGATGCGCTCGCTGCGGTCTGTTTTGCTCAGTTTCCTCTGCTACTATTTTGTTTTGCAAAACTCGGGACCCAGACCACTATTTATTGCCACTCACGTCCTTCTCCTCGCTCCTCTTGTAGGGGGATGCCAGGGGCCACCTGGTGTCAGAGCGGCTGGGCCTTGGCAACAATCTGGACCTGTCAGACACCATGGTCCAACAGAAACTGGAAGAGATCAAGGAGCAGATTCGGCGTGAGATCCGAAAGGAGCTTAAGATCAAAGAAGGGGCAGAGAACCTGCGCAAGGTACTCTTCCCGTCACTGTCGACAAGCTCTGCATCGACGTATAACACAACTAAAAATATAAACTACACCCAAAACGCTTTCCGGCATTTCATTGTGCATCTTTAAATTTCAAAGATCAGGAACTTTCTGTGACTATATATCAAGTGTGGTGTAAATGATAACCTGTCGACTTTGTCACAACTTGGACTCTTGCTAATTCTCCTCAGGTCACCACAGACAAGAAGAGCCTGGCTTATGTCGACAATATGCTGAAAAAATCGAACAAGAAGGTTGAGGAGCTTCACCAGGAGCTACAGGAGCTCAACGCCCACATTGTGGTGAAAGATCCCGAAGAACTGCAAGGTAAGCAAAGTAGTGTTCCCTCTCTGTGCAAATAATTACCAGACTTTTACACAATCACTATTTAGGAGCTGATCAGCTCAAAACCTGCACAAAATGCGTCAAATTGGCCTTGTGGCATGTTATTGTAGCTTCTTGAGTTCATCCAAGGTGCCCCTGAGCAACCGTGGGGAGGATTATTATTATTTTGTGTGTGTGTGTGTGTGTGTGTGTGTGTGTGTGTGTGTGTGTGTGTGTGTGTGTGTGTGTGTGTGTGTGTGTGCGTGCGTGCGTGTGTGCGTGCGCGCACGCACAGCCCCTGCTCAGATATCTCTCCAATAGCTCACGTGTATTCGTAGCCATTCTATATGCATGTCTATAAAATAATAAATTAATGAATTAATCATGATGCACAGTTTAATTCTTTTATTACTTATTCATTTATCCATGAAAACATATTTTCATAAATTACAATATTATAGAGTGTGATTGTCCTTATTTTAAAAAAAAAACACATGGAGGGTGGGCTGGAAAGGATCAATGGCGTTTCCATTCATTTCAATAGGGAAAGATGTTTTGAGATACGAGCGTGGTCGTATCACGAATGAAGCTTATATCTCCAGGCACCGCTCTCGTTGGTTTTTGTCGTTTACACAATGTTGTGCTTCGACTTATCTTGTTGCGTAAGAGTGTAGCTACTCTGTTATTTCATTCGCAACAAAGTGTCCCTCATTACTGGGTACTTGGACGCCAAGTATCACATACTCAGTAATTCTGGCAGCGTTGTGTCAGAACACGGCGGCGTCAACCTCAGCACATACACATGCACACACAGCCCCAGTCAGCCTTCAGAGGTGACTCACTCTCGAGAGACTGACATTGTTGCATTCCACATTCCACCGACAGTCACAATGAGATGACGATTTGTTCACCTCCAAAGCTGTTGAAAGCTGCCTCCCGTGCCTCTGTCAACAACAGCGAAACTCCCAAAGAGCCCACCACGGACGGCAGCGGCGTTTGTTCAGCGCCATCGCTTTACGCCGGCAGACCCGTGAGACTGTTGACCGGAGGCGAGTGATCGCTTGAAAGGAAGCGAAGGAATGCTGTTTGTCTGCCCGATGATGTTGACAATCTCCCCCGGTTCAGTTGACGTTAGGAAGTAAACGAAGGGGGGGCCGTGTGTTTTAGGGGGGAGGGAAGCAGCGTTGTCGCGGTGAATGGTTATCTTGAGTGGGAACACGACTCTGTGACCCTGTGTCTGATGAACAAGGTCTTTCTTTCTTTCGGCGTGACACGTCACCACCGGAATGTCGCTGACCACGGCGCAATGATGGGAGAGCTGGGAATTGAGTGCGTCTCGGCTCCGAAGTCATGGGACAACCTCTTGATACGCGGTCAACGCTTGTTTCCCAAATGAATCAGAAACAGCGCCTGTGACTCTACAAGGATCCAGAAACGGGTGCGTTTTGTTGCCTGGCAAGGCTGCGAGTGGCGGGGGGGGGGGGGGGGAAAAATTATCTTCCCTGCTGGGTTTAGGTCACAAACCGGGTCACCGTCATTCACGGCACACATCAGACCCTTTTCCACGACACTTGAGCCGTGAGTTGGGAGTCGAATTCATAACGGGACAACACTTGTAAATCAAAACAATGAATTTTGCCAACCGAAACAGCACCTGATCTTCTCCTGTAATGTTTCGGAAGATGGGAGAAGACAGAAAAGATGGATCTTCGAGCATTCATAATCTTTGTAAATCATCCAATGAGCTGGGTCCTTTCCCCTGCACGCTCTTTAGCTCACTCTTCAACGCTGTTTAGGTCTGGGACCAGAGATGGCCTTGGGAGGAGCTTTGAGGAGATTCTCTGTCTTGTGAGCCATTTCTACAATTTCCAGGATGATCGCATGCTTCTGCATTTATTTTAAGGCTTTTAACACATCTCATCCAGCGGTGTGAATCATTACGGAGGGCACTATGATTCCACATGTTAACGTAGCTGCCATGGGAGGGGGGGCTCTTGCTGTGATGTCATTGTTGAGGTATCATTCCTTCCCACTTTCTCTTTGCATTCCCATCGGAAACCGAGGGGAGGGTTGCCCTTGTCAGCTTTCCAGCGGTGACATCATCCCCGCAGCTATTCAGGAGCTCAGTGTGTTGTCCTCCCGTCCAGCGGGGGCTGAACCAGGGGGAGGAAATTCTCAACTTGATTTAGCCTTGACCAAATCCACCCCACCTCCACTCCCAGAGAGACAAAAACACCCAAGCTTGAGCAACATGACTTGGCCATCACTTCTGCACGTGCTTGTCAGGTTTTTGGCATTTGTCCTCAAGGTTCGCATCACACCGATTTAGCGTTGGCTGACTTTACCGGATGCCAGGAAAGCAAACAGAATGAGGGAGGTAATACATCAAAAGGCCCTGTGTGATACGAAGGTGAAGTCACTGACAAACCAGAGCGTACACTTGAAATTTTCTGAACTGAAGCCAAAGTTTCCCCGAGTAACGTTAAGGGCTCTCTGTTTATTCAGGGTCATCAGTTAATTGGTTTGGATCTTCAGTTTTAAGGAACACATGGGTTCGTTTGAGGTACTCAAACCACTTAAACGATCATTTCAGTTAAAAACATGTCCAGTATCATGACTTGGTGTTTTTACTGAGAAAGCCAGCTAAATAGCAGTTTTGAAGTGGGGGGGGGGGGCTCCTTTTATGGAGGAATTCTACTGTGATGCAATGGACATAGAACCTGAACTTGCAATTCATGTCTGGAGAAGTCAGGCCGGTTTACTTGTCTGCGTGTGTGTGTGTCTATAAGTGTGTGTGGGAAAAAAAGTTTTCATGCCTTTTTCAAGTTCACCACTGAAAACCTATTTTTCTATTGTTCCCAGATTTCGAGAAACGTTTTCTTTATCATTGCACTTCGGAATTGGTCTGTTCAAAGTTCCGGTCGTCATTCAAACAAGCGTGTTTTAAAAAAAAAAACACTTTTCACCCTCTGACGTTGTTGTTTATGGCACATTTTGAAAATTGAAATTTGTCTTCCTTCTGGTATAAATCTCAATGTTATTGCAGCAGTGTTGTCTTTGTTCCTCGAACAAATGAAGTCCTGTCATAACTAATTATACTCCGCTGACCTTCCTGAAGCTGCTACCTGACAGGTTTTCTGTAAGCAACCTTATAAGTAATTGTGCTGGTCTGCAGGATTGTTTAGCTAAACTCAACATGGCTGCATTCCAAAAATAGAAGATACAGGCAGAGTTCAGTTTCAAGTCTATTTGTGACAAACTCCAGCAGCAATCGTATCCTGTAGCAGTGCTTGTCCGCCAAATGCCCTGACTCTTGCTTTTGTCTCTTTCCCCTCAGAATGCCCCCTGACGCCAGATACCCCAAACAGCGAGAGCCGAATGTGCACCAGCAGCAGCCGCCTGGCCGCCCTGAAAAGACAAAACGACATCGAGCTCAAGGTCAAACAGGGCGCGGAGAACATGATTCAGATGTACTCCAATGGGCCATCGAAGGTAGGCTTCGTCAATACCTAAAGCTACATAAAACTGTACAAGAGTTGTAGCCGCCTGACAGAAAATATGAAACCGCTCCCTCTCAAGACTCAAACCACATTAACACCTCACATTATTGGTTAACGTTTGCTTATTTTTAGATCTGTAGATTTCAAATACAGCGGCACCTCTACTTTGAAAGTTACGAAACGTCTCAACAGAAAAATATTGCCTCTTGTTACGAAAGAAATTTCAAGATACGAAAGGTAAAAATACAGTAAATGGCCTGCTACTCGCAGCTCCGAGTTTCCGGAATGCAACATGCTTATTGCTGCTCTGCCATTGGCTATCACCGAGCATCATCATCATAGATAGATAGTTATGTGTCTATGCAGCGACCTCATCATTTGCCCCTCGGGCCATGAGGCATTCCGATAGTTTTTACGTAAATGTGAATCATCCAGAAAAGGTGTTCGCCAGTCGGGCGATCGCTCACGATGCAGATGTTTGCCTTGGACATTTTCAAAGCAAACGTCCTCGGATCAGTTCTTTACAAAATGTCAGGCAAAAACTACTTGAGAGAGAACGTGGACTAAAGAGGGCAAAAAAAGATGAGAACGCAGTTAAGTTAGATGACCATCATTTTTATTCTCATAATATCTTGGAGTACATGTGGCTTTAAAAAGAGGGGCCTGGCCTCTTGAGTGATGCAAGATTTAGTCAATGAGTGTGTGCGGAGTCGGCTGCTGTGAACTTAGGTTAGCGGCTGGCTGTTCGCTGGCTAACCATCAGCCAGTGTTCATGTTTAATGCCTGAGCGTCAGTTGCGGTCACAGCAGCTTGTGTATGAATGCGCCGATTGCGTGTTTAAGTCTAATATGATGCTGAATTGTTCAGGTTCTCTGTCTTTTATGCATTTAGTCATCCTTTTTCGCCACCAAGTTATTTCTACGCAGAGTGGTAAGCGAGGCTGCAGCACCATTAGTCCCTCTGCTGGAAAAAATTATCACGGAGAAGCTTCAGAGCAGTTTTTTTTTTTGCTTCAACTTTTTTTTTTGTAATCACGTTGCAGCGTTCCCTCGCTACATCGCAGTTCAGTTGTTGGAGCTTCACCTTGTCGTAGGTTTTCATTTGTACCATAACTACTTCTAGTATGCTTTTCCCTCGCACCTCGCTTATTTTTTATAAGCATTCACATCAAAGAACAATTTAGTCTTCAATTAACCTGCCATGTATGAATGTGGCAGAGGAAAACACACACCGGAAAGCCGAAGCCCGGATTCCAAACCATGACCTCTACGCTGTGAGGTGAATATGCCAACAGAACCGGTCTTATATCATGCCACCCATTCCAAGTTTAAGGAGTTGAAAACTAAAAAAAAAAAAAAATAAAAAAAAATCATGGTTTTGTTCAATAGTTTTTTTATTATTATTGAACCTGATTGAAAGACTGATTTTCAAAACAAATGTGCAGAGTGTGTCGAGGATATAAATAACCTCAATGTACAAAAACAAAGGTCAGTCACAGAGTGAATGAATGAAAGCTTGATATTGTCAGTGAATTTATTTTCGTTTCATGGCCGCAAGCTCTATGTTAATGTCACCACGTAATCAGTATGGACTCTTCAATCACAAAACGCACCGAGTGCCTTGAAAGCTGATTGTTTCCCGGAATTGAAAACAAACACACAGACTTGCATTTTGCAGTTGGCGGAATGACAGTGGTTTTGCTTTGAGTGTTTCTCTGCGGGAGGAGGAAACGTACTGACAACATGGTGTGTCATGTTCACAGCTGCTTGTTCACGAAGCATTTACGGGCATTGTTGCTTCTATCATCATGCTCAAGGCGACACAAGAAGCTATAAATTAGCTGGTGTGGATTTGATTCACCAGAGGGGCGCGTCAAGCCACCTGCTCGTTACAAAGCCAAGGCCTCGTTGCTCCTGAAATGGATTGTGAAGTAGAGAAAGCAATTTTTTGTATAAATTTGTGTGAATGAAGAGTTAATGGTTTGAGTCAGTTGAATATGTGGGTAAATTATGGAAGGATGATCAGCTTGGAAACAAATCTTGAATTTTAAAGGGGAGTTTTTTTTTTTTGTTTTTTTTTTTTCACGGGCTCTGGAAGTCCAAGCATCACATGTAAAAACCACTCTCTTTGCTGACATCAATGACTCCAACATTGCTGTCTTCAAATATGTGTAATGCTTTGGGACGGCAACTTTGGACTTGTTTTCATGTTGGTTTTGCGTAATGTGCATGGTCAGAGCTTGGCGACAGAATGCAGGCCAATCTTTTTTTTGTTTTTGAGTTGCATCTCCTTTGTGGTTGCACTGGTTTGTCGCGTGATTGCAAATTTTGGAAAATTCTGCCTGGCGCAGCTCCCAAGAGACCTCATTGCTCTCGATTTGCTGTGTTCCGGATTTTTAGGGGAATTCAAAATGACCGCATGTGTCAGATTAAATAGAAGGCGCTCGCTTCACGCTACTGCTACTTGCTTCAGCTACCCTTGTTGTTGTTGTTGAACATTGTTTCTGTCTACACAACGTGAAGCACGGTCAAATCGACTCCGTGATTTTTCTGAATCGACATGGTTGGGTGGGGGAAGTTGCTGAATTGGCGAAGTATTCCAATGCATTGATAAATGGCTATTTTTACCTACCCCTACTCTGCTGTCTGCGACTTTGCAAGGTCACACAGTTTTGTCATCAGCCTGACAGACAGACAGAAGCACAGAGCCAGCTTCCACTTGGAAATAGTCCTGTCATGATGTCAGAGAGGAAATTCCTGTTGGAGAGAGTCCTTTTCCTCCCGGCGCCGCCATCAGTGACCTGGAGTTCAGAGGAATTCTCAAGTGTGTCTGTGTGTTTTTAAGAAAGGCCAGTGATTACGCACACAGTGACACGCCTGTTGTTTTGGCAAATCGACATTTACCGGTGATCACAAATTCGTAACAATTTGTTCCGCGCGCATGACAGTCAAACAGATTCCTTTTTTTTTTTCCTACCCCCTAGCAGAGTCTGATCAATTAGGCTCGCAATATTTAAGTGGCGTTTTGCCGTCGTCGTGAGCAGGTCGTTCCTAACGGAGATGAACGGTCTGTTTTTGCTCTTAGGATCGCAAGCTGCTGGCAACGGCGCAGCAGTTGCTTCAGGACAGCAAGATGAAGATCGAGTTCATCAGAATGCAGATCCTTAAGGCAAGCCAGGCCAACGAGTTGAGCTTTGAGAACAACGACGTGATTGGTAAAGATGTACTTTGTGCGAAATAATCTTCGTCGTAACAATTAAAAAAAAAAAAAAAGCTTTGTAAGAGAGCCAAGTTCTTCATTGTCCACAAGACAAGGCCATCATCAGCCCTTTGGACCTTCGGGTGGAGGAGTTGTGTCACCATGCCAGGATAGAGTCTGCCGTGGCGGAGGGAGCCAAGAACGTTATGAAACTTCTTGGCACAGGAAAAGTCACAGAAAAGAGAGCACATTTAGAGGTACAACACTATATTTCCAGATCGTCAATCATTCAAAGTACATTTATGGATGGCAAAGATAAACAATCTGCTTTCATTCCTCGTGGTTTTAAAACAGAACCCGAAAGCCCTGCTGTTCATGGGATATTTCTGTCTTACCTGATGAATCTCTAGATCGTGTCCTTTTCTCCCCCAATTCAGGCCCAGGCTCGCTTTAACGAATCCAGCCAGAAGCTCGACCTCCTCCGCTACTCCTTGGAGCAGCGCCTCAGCGAGCTGCCGAAGAACCATCCGCGCAACAGCAGCATCGTGGAGGAGCTGTCGCTCCTATCCACGCCGGTCCTCAGCCCGCGATCCAGCATCATCTCCACGCAGAACCAGTACAGCACGGTGACCAAGCCCGCCGCGCTGACAGGTACCGCCGGGACATGATTTTGATTCTAATGTGTTTTGGGTTGGGGAAATTTCAGACGTCTGCCGAAATTGTTGTCGAATATCATCTATTACACGTGGTTCTGGAAAAGAAATGACCCCAAAAAATACTTAGCTGTTCGAAACCAAACAGTAGTAGCAAATGTTTTGTGCTTCAAAGTTAAATACAACTGATCTATAGTAAAAAGATAAAATAAAATACCGTACTGATTTAAAAAAAAATACATACAGTGTTGTAGCACATAAAACGCACTTGATTAACTTTTGTACTTTGAGCGAAAAATGAATTCCCGTGTGCTTTCAGCAATAGTGTAAACCCACTTGTAACTGGATTACGCAACACCCTATGACAAAGATTGTGTGTTGTTGCCGTCGCCCCGCACTACCAGGCACCTTAGATGTCAGGCTCATGGGCTGTCAAGACCTGCTGGAAAACGTTCCCGGCCGCTCCAAAGCCGCATCTGTCCCGCTGCCTGGCTGGAGCCCCAGTGAAACGCGTTCATCCTTCATAAGCAGAGCCAACCGAAACCGCAGCCTCAGTTCGCGGAACATGACGAAAAGCGAGGAGCTCTCGAGTAAGTCCGTTAAATCGGGTGGACAATAACACGTACCGATGAAAGGGATTTGCAGTGATATTTTGACTTATGAGTGCCACAACTGATGACTCTTCATGGGTTAGCCAGTTGACAGCAAGCTGTCTCGTTGACACCCACATCACTCACCGGGTCAGGCCGCACCTTTTAAATCCATGGACACTCAAAGTCACACGGACTCTCTTGTGAGGAAGTTGTATTTTTTTCAACACTACCGTGCTGTTCTTTATTTAAAAAAAACCCCAAAAAAAACGGATAAAGTAAACTCATAATTCAAGATACCACTGTAATTGATGACGTCAAGCAAGGCCAGCGCTTGTTAAGTAGCGGGTGTGTTTCCTCAGATGAGATTAGTGCAGTTTTGAAGTTGGACAACACGGTTGTCGGTCAAACCAGCTGGAGGCCGGTCAGCAACCAGGCCTGGGACCACAAGTTTACATTGGAGCTGGACCGGGTAACAAACGCAAGCACTTGAAAACACGTTCATCGTTGCTTTTGGATGATATGTGGGCATACGTGGTCCAAACGTTTTGGTGACCAATTGCCGTGCCTTTCTAGTCCCGCGAGCTGGAGATCTCGGTATACTGGCGTGACTGGCGCTCACTTTGCGCAGTCAAGTTCCTGCGTCTTGAGGACTTCCTGGACAACCAGCGGCACGGCATGTGTTTGTACCTGGAGCCGCAGGGCATGCTCTTTGCTGAGGTTTGTGCGCGCGTGCTCCAATTCACACTCAAATCTAAAAAATGAACATTGATATGCTTGCTAAACCATGACTGCTCTTCATGATCATGTGTCTTTATTTAGGTAACGTTTTTTAATCCGGTCATCGAGAGACGACCAAAGTTGCAAAGACAAAAGAAGATTTTCTCGAAGCAGCAAGGTGAGCGGGCCAAGTTTCACTTTGCTTTTTGGAAAGGATTTGATGGCTCATTTCTTTCCCCTAGCATTGGCCTTTTTTTTCCCCATTTTGCTGATCAAACGATGAATTCCCCCCATGTATCCAGGTAAGACTTTCCTGCGAGCCCCTCAAATGAACATCAACATCGCTACATGGGGCCGCCTGGTGAGAAGAGCCATTCCGACTGTGAGCACCAACTCCTTCAGTCCGCAGGCGGCTGAGACCGGGTCCAGCAGCATCCCGGGTTCACCCACACCCAGCAGGCAAGTGAAAGCACCGTTTCCTGCCACGTGAATGAGACATGACCCGCTTCTTCGGGCTTGACTCTTACCATTTCTGACCTGGATTCTTTCTGCAGCGATCCACTGGTGACCAAGCTGGACTTTGACAGGGAGCCGACCCCAGGACCCAAGTTCTACCCCGCGCCCGACAGCATACGACAACCACCGGAGCCCCACGACATGCTGCCTGACAAAGAGGAAGTGCAGGTGTTGAATCAGGAGTTTTCTCATGCGGCGGTGAATGATTTACATTTTAGACTTCAAGCTGTCAGAATCACTGACTTAATTTCACTTCATGTTCAGCCTTTCGGTTCGTCCCTCCAAGATGCGCTCGCCTCATTCGACTTCCTGAACAAGAGGAACAGCGTGACGGTGAAGCCTGATCTGAACCTGGTGGCGGAGACGGAGCTTCAGCATCCGGACCTGGAGCTCACGGCCTTCCCAAAAGATGCAGAGATAAGGTAGACCTGGAATTTCTCTCCGGGGGAAAATAATCCGTGGATAATTCAAGTTGGCTACCAACATATGACTCCTGATGGAGTTTGAATTTCGAAGGATGTGTGAATAAAACTATTCTGTTGAATGTAACAGCTGGGGACGGTTGAACCGTGTCTGTCCCGAAGTTCAATTCAAAAATCTCAATTCTGACATCCATAGTTGCCAGTGTGAATGGTTGTCTGCATGTGCCGTGTGATTGGCTGGCAACCCGTCCAGCACGTACCCCACCTCGCACCCCAAAGTCAGCTGGGAAAAGCTCCAAAAGAACGGATGGATTGAAATTCTCTCTATTTTTGTTGCTGAGCGACTCCTATTTCACACTAGTGTATAAACAGCACCCCCTGGCGGTCACCGCTGTAGTAACGCTGGCTCAAATGTGTTTTACAGGGAAGAGGAGCAGTTTCACTTCAGTCTCAAAGACTTCAAATGTGTTGCAGTCCTTGGACGCGGCCACTTTGGAAAGGTGAGTTTCATGTCATATCTTTTAAAGAACTGTAAACGATAATATCGCGGTACAGAGTTTTGTGCCCGTCGCGACTGAATGTGTGCTGTAGTTTAAAGGCATCTTCGACAGCTTGTCTGAAGCCTTTCTGGATTTTGCAGGTATTGTTAGCCGAGTATAAAAGTACAGGCGAAATGTTCGCCATCAAAGCTCTGAAGAAAGGCGACATTGTGGCACGCGACGAAGTCGACAGGTAACGGCCACCAAACAACGAAAGCCATGCCGCGCTAAAAGTTAGCGCATCACACACATCGCTAACCTTGTTGTCGTCGTCTTCTTCTTCCAGTCTGATGTGCGAGAAGCGGATCTTTGAGACGGTCAACAGCGTGCGCCACCCGTTCCTGGTCAACTTGTTTGCATGCTTCCAGACACAGGAGCATGTGTGCTTTGTCATGGAGTACGCGGCGGGAGGCGATTTGATGATGCACATCCACGCCGACGTCTTCTCCGAACCGCGGGCCATGTAAGCTGAAGTTAAATCGTTGTCAGACTGTCAATGAATGAATGAATGGTGCTCGGTCGTAGCCACCATTGGTTCATGTCATAGAAGATTTACTCGTGGTCCAGTTTTACTCTTGATCGGTGTGTAGGCGCTACAGAGACACACCCATGTGTATACAAGCAATTAAAAGTAAATTTTTTGGTACCTTTTCTCGCCATCGTAGTGAATTTAACTGAAGGAGACTTTGTTTTTTCCAGATTTTATGCGGCCTGTGTCGTGCTGGGATTACAGTATTTACATGACCACAAAATTGTGTACAGGTGAGCCCTTTGGGGGGCGTGGGGGGTGACTTATTTCCTAAATGTAGTTGTCCTGTACTGGGTGTTGTGTAAAAAGATGACCATGAATACTTGTTTGTTGTTTGACAGAGACCTGAAGCTGGACAACCTGCTCCTGGACACTGAAGGTTATGTGAAGATTGCCGATTTTGGCCTTTGCAAAGAAGGTGAAAGGAACCGAAATGGAAGCGTGTGCTAAGGGGCCACATTTGAAGTTTCGGATGCGATCCAATTCAACTAGAATACAATACACGAGCTGCAACAATGACAAAAAAATGTATTTATAAAAAAAGCTGTTCTTTCTATAATGTTCTAACATGCCACAGGATGGCGCCAAAGCCACGGCTAAATAGGAAAGGAGTAATTGGCGTTAAAAGTCCATTCGTTTTTATACCATGTTATAACGGTACTTGTTGTCATCAGGAATGGGCTTCAGGGACAGAACCAGCACTTTCTGCGGAACACCCGAGTTTTTGGCCCCCGAGGTCTTGACTGAAACGTCGTACACCCGCGCCGTGGACTGGTGGGGGCTGGGAGTGCTCATTTTTGAGATGCTGGTGGGGGAGGTGAGTGTGTATCTGTTTGGTCCTCACCATGCTTCACTTGATCTCTGCGCCCTCTTCAAGGCATCTCGATGTTATCTCCTTCAGTCGCCGTTCCCCGGCGATGACGAGGAGGAGGTATTTGACAGCATCGTCAACGACGAAGTCCGCTACCCACGATTCCTTTCCACGGAAGCCATCTCCATCATGAGGAGGGTACGTTGGTCAACCAATTGGTGGACAGCAGCTCCGGTAGACAAAGTCGGAGTGTCCGCATGGATTTGTTTTCATTGGTCACTGCTCAAGTAGTGGACCCAAGTGTGTTTTTGTTTTGTTTTGTTTTTTATCTCATGAGGCGAAAAAGAACGAGTTATTCGCCTTTAAGGCTTCGTGAGACTGAAAACTAACAACATAAATTACAGCATTGACAACTCTGCCTCTGCTCAAATTGCAGCCTTTGCAACTAGCAAATCATGTTTTGTCATATCACTGTCATGTTGCAAACGAAATTGCTCGTACAGCCCTAATATGTGATACCTTTTTGGACATTTTTCTTCATATTTCCTATTATCTACCGACGTGTGTGTTCAGCTTTTGAGAAGAAGCCCCGAGCGTCGTCTTGGAGCAGGAGAAAGGGACGCCGAGGAAGTCAAGAAACACTTATTCTTCAGGGTGAGGAGCTCAATTAAAATGCACCAATGTCTCCTTTGAATTAAGTGCACTCAAAAAGTCCACGAAAACTCTGTCTGTCTGGAATCAATCACGCATTGGTCCCTAATCACTATTTAGGGATCTGTGAGGGACTTTGTGGAACGATCTAGGACCACGATATACAAATCTGATTGGCACTGTCTCGTTCTCCATGTGTGCGTACAGAACATGGACTGGAACGGCCTCCTGTCCAAGAAAGTGAAGCCCCCATTTGTGCCGACCATCCAGGGCGCAAACGACGTCAGCAACTTTGACGATGAATTCACCTCAGAGGCGCCCATTCTGACCCCACCCAGGGAGCCGCGGGTGCTCAACTCGGACGAGCAGAACATGTTCTCCGACTTTGATTACATCGCTGACTGGTGTTAGCGCCACACGTGACAACGCCGCTCATAACTTTTCTCTACAAAAAAGGTTTGAGGAATCGGAGACGCTTCCCTGAGGAATCCCACTTTGGAAAAAAAAAAATAATCATGAAGAATTTTTTTTTTAACGAGAGAAAAAACTTTGAGAAACTAAAGGAGGATGGAGCATGCTGTCTGACCACTGAGAATGTTTTTCATACGAACTCGAGACTGGAGACGGCAGTCCCGATCATTCACTGACACTCATTCGTGTTTTTTTTTTTTTTTTTTGTTTTGTTTTGTTTTATTTTGTTTTGAATATGTACAGTTTCTTCAGTCAAATATTTTATTGCCTCATTTTCGTGCGCAAGAATTATGATCTCTCTTGAAACTGGCATTCAGTCATTTTTTTTAAAATGCTAAAAATATCACTGAAGCCCAACAACACATCTTGACTACTATTTTTTTGTTCAGTTGAACTTTTTTTTTTTTTTTTTGCCATTTTCATACAGACTCACATCTGAATTCAGCACCTGTCCATCCAGTGTTATGACACATACTATAAAAAAATCCAGTTTTGGAATTAAAATATTTGAAATGAAAGCATTAGAAGCCTTCAGGCCGGTGGTTCTCAAACTGTGGGTCTGCAAAATACATTGCAATAAATTGTCGCATCAAAAAAAAAGTACATACAAACTGGAATGAACAAATTACTACTCCCTACCTGAAGCTTTGGACCAGTTAAAAGCTCTGATATAATTGCTATATTTTCACATAAATCTGACATAACGTGATTATAGGAATAGTCCATTTTTTAAAGAAAAAAATACCTATTTTTTGAGAATATAGTCCTATATTTGACAGAATAAAGATGTCTTCAGGAATAAGAAAAAAAACCCGATGTAATATGAATGCTTTTTAAATTAAAATGTTTAAATATGGCATTCTTGTTAAACTTTTATTTAATAGCACATTACAATTTTATATCAGGAAAATATGGCTATATAGTATTCTCACAAGATCACAATTTTTAATACCCACAAAATGTTGTTAGCCTAATAGCATTCCTGCCAGTCATTTATGAATGTTTTTGGAAAATTCTGGGGGGAAAAAAAGTCCAATTGCCATGGTTCAACCTTTTGTAGATTGACACAAAGAAAAATTTTTTTTTAGCAAGTCCATTGATGATTTATTTGGATTGTGATGGTACATTAAAAATGACTTAGCTAATTTTGCTATTAGGCTAACATTGTCTTATTGTAAAGATTGCGACTTTTGTCACCTTGAAAAAAATGCTACTTTATTATCACGACGTCACCCCCCCCGCCCCTTTCGAAAAAGATTGGAACAAATACCCCATGCCTTTTTTTGTCCTCACAAACAGGCAACTCTTCAACTCCCTATGGTATTTAGGGGTATGGTAGTTTGGGGTTCAATTGGTGTCAGCAATATGACAGGGGTCTTGGGGGTGAGGGGGTGTGGGGAACAATTCTCCCTGGCCCAAAAAGTTTGAGAACCCCTGCTTTCAGCCACATACGATCCAAACTAGGTTGATTTTGTAATACTGGGTTAGCTGAGATCAGTCTGACATATTTCTTGTTGCCTCAGTTACTGTGACTTGCAGCTATGCCACCAAATTAGTGTTGAAGTGACAGCTCTTCTTGAAAGTTGTTTTTTTTTTTTTTATACACTATATTGTACATAAATCCTGAAGACCTATCAATTAGAAACCTGTTTGAATTATATATATATATATATCTCACACGCACATACACAATGAAGCTGAAAAGCACTAAGATGAAAACACTAAATTTATCAATGGAAATAAGAAATTGTACAGTTTTTTTTTAACTCAGCTGTGTATGTTAGCAGAACAAACAAACTTGATGGATGGTACAGCAATATATATCTATATATATATATATATATATATATATATATATATTCTCAGGTCACGACTGATGCTCTTCACCCTAGTGTTTTTTTTTCCAGTCTATGTCTATCATGAATGCACAAATTAAACCTAATAGTGGATTTATATGTATATTACATCTCATCACTCTTGAACGTGTTTTTCTTCTGTTGCCCAACCTCTCTTGAGAAAAGGCACATTTTGCGATCGAAAAATCCCGTGGCACATCAGACTGAAATCATGATTTTCTCAATTTACGCACAAAAACAATTCCTAGCTGATGATTCGATGACAGTTGAGCCTTCTGGTTAACGATACAAAAGCAATTTTTGTCTGATTACTCAATGGTATAATCAGAATATTTTGATTCGAAAAAATGTTGAGAAGTGCAGCCTTATTTTGTTGTATGAACGGCGCAGGTTAATCGCACCTTCTGCCACCTCATGGAAACGCATTGAATTGTTCCCGCTGTGATATGTTGTTGGCACGGATGGTTGAACAAAGATACAGTCTGTTTCGTTGGATTATTTCCAGGATTTGGTGAATTAACCAACATTGTGTGAAAAGTGACTTTACCAAATCTGTACTCTCATCTCCAATGAAAAGTTTTTATTTTTTTAAATTACAGTTCAAACAAACTAACAAAATATAAGCAGTTCATTTTCCTAGAAAAATGTTTGTATACAGTATGAAAGCAGCCTAAAATGGCAAGCATTTCCCCCACTTGAACATGTCCATCCGGTCAGGAGAGTTCTTCTCTGGTGATCACTGGAATGTGTGTCCATCTTTCTGCTGTGAGGGTGCCTTGACAAAGGCTTGAAATCATCGGGACAAAACCAACGACAAAAGAAGAACAATGGTGGAAGTAGCAGACGCGGTAGTGCCGCTGGTGGGGTGGGGGCGAAGGAGATTTTTTTCACAGTTGGGGCAGCTTGTCGACAGGTGTGTCGAATTTGAAGTCCACAGGGAAAAGTTCTGCGGCGCGAGGGTAGATGAGTCGGTACGACTGTCGGATGGTCACATCTGCAACACCGGCGATGTCCCCGATTTCTGTAATTGCGCATGAAAATAAGCGGTGGACCGTCAGATTGCACATCACCAAACAAAAATGTCAAAACAATTGAGCATTCTGCTATCTAGTGGAAGAGCATGTCATTGTTCTGCCTGTCACTAATTGTGAACGGCTGGTACGATGCCACGAGCGGCGCGTCACCTTTCTGCGTCTTCTTCTCAGCAGAGGCCTGCGAGGCCATGTAGATGGCGGCGGCGGCCACGGAGATGGGACTCCTGCCGGGCACCAGGTCCAGCTCGACGGCCTTCATGGCTATGTAGGTGGCGGCCATCTGCACCTGCTTGGGCAGGCCCAGGTTGGAGCAGAAGCGGGACATGAAATCTCCGGTGGTGATGAGGTCCACGCTGGTCTCCAGGGCCTTCAGGATCAGTTTGAAACAGCGGCCGATTTCCTTCTTGGAGATGCGGGACACGGCGCAGATTTCTGTGGAGGTACCAAAAAAAAAAGAAATAATAATAATCAAACTGTGACAGGACCAGTGAAGTGATATTGTAAGGCTGCAGTTGCATTCATGTTGCTCGAGCTGTGTTATTTCCGACCGTCACCAGGCAGTGAGTTTTGTAAATATTGGAAGTTCATCTGGGTTTTTGGGAGGATCGTGGAGGCTTACAAAAACAAATTCCAATACATTTCTGTGACTGTCAATGAGACGTGGCTTTTCGCGAATCGTGGGGGGAATAGCAGGGGGGGCACAATATTTCTTTTCTGTTGTAATATCACCATTCACCACTAGATGACATACATGGCCTAACTGAACTCATGCCAGGTTTTATACTGCCCTAATCTACAACGTGAGTAGACCTTTTTTATGGATTTTGAATGACATGCAGGAAATATGTAGTAAAGTACCTCAATAATATGAACATTTAGACTGAGGTGACTTCTGTGAAAACTTGTCATACATCTGGTTGAGCACTGATGAAAAATCACGGCCCACGCCATAGTTTAAGTTGCCCACCCCTGCCCGAGAATCTTTGAGTGGCTCACACTTGGATCCTCAATTCGAAGCAAGTAGTAAAGAGCGCCGCTTGTGATCTGACCTTTAAATGTTCGGGGGACACCTTCTTGTCTGCAGGCGATGTAGAGGCAGGCCGATGCGATGGCGTCGTTCGCTCGGCCCTTCAGGCTCTTCTGTTCATAAACTTGTTTGAATAGGTTGTTGGTTCTATCCTGCGGGCGAAAACGCATGGAAGATATAAGAAAAGCGGTCCATCGCACAAAACAATTTTGGGAGCCGCGAGAGTAGAACACTGAGGTCTCCCAAACTGTACCACAATAGCTTTAGTGTCTAAATCTTTGTAGCGGTCCACTTACTATAATGTTTCTTGGCAGGTTGATTCGATCCGCCATAGTGGTGATCTCTTTGAAGGCGTTGAGCATGGCGCGGTCCGAGCTGCTCATGGTGCGGCGGTTCTGGTACTTGGAGTTGCCAAACTCGTCAAAACTCGCGGCGCCCGTTCCCTGTTGGTGAAAAGAAAGCATTTCGACTTCGATGTTGTTACAGCGTGCATTGCTTCCACAACCAAAGAGAACTGTGGTGTGGGGACACCTTACAGGGAAATTGATCCCCTGCTAGTCCGAACATCAATTACACATAACTACCATGTGTTGAAAAAAAGAAAAGGCTTAATAGTAATAACAAAGACATATTTTGTCGGGGTCAAAAGTGATCATTTTCAAGTTGACCTTGCTGATCATGGTGGTGAGGTCTCCTCCATTCAGCAGCGGGTTCTGGGCGTCTCCCACTCTGGATGGATCTTTGAGAGCCTTCTCATTGGAAAACGTCCTCCACTCGGAGCCTACGTCGATCACACGATCGCCTGAGGGGAAAAAAAAAAAACGACACAACTAGGACAAAAACTCTGAAGGGGAATCCTGTTGGATAACACACACACACGCACACAGTCCCTTGCATCATCATCATCATCATCTCCCTCTTGGTTAAGGTCCGTGTGCTCAGGAGGCTCATTAAATAGAGCTGCCTTCTGCTCCAGCTCTAACTTGCAGGTTGCATCACAGACTGCGTCGTGTATGTCACAAATGGGCTGTAGCAATAAGTCACCTTCAGATTGCAGTTTAATGTGAGCCCTTCAAATGGCTTTACGGTGTTGCAGTTCAATCTATTACCCAATACTTGCTTGAGTAACATCTGCACGGACTGGGACAAATACTATCGTGTGGAAAAATGCCAGTGATTTGCGACCACTGTACATTAGTGACTGAAGTTAACATGTTGGCTTGGCTCTTGCGGACCCCTTTGCAAAATGAACGTGTGTAGTTATGCTTACCTACGACCAGGCCACACTCGGGGCAAATCATATCCCCTGCTCTGTAGTCCTCCACCAGGATGGCATCGGGGTGGTTGGGACACTGAACTCTGGGAAGGGTCGATCCATCTCCACTGTGAAAGTAAAAGGAATGAGTAGAAAGATTCCAAAATATGACTCAATGAACTTGGTCATACTTCACAAAAGGCCCCATTCACTGAAGGAAGTCGCAAATACGCCGTGTCAATTAGAAGGTTCGAAGAAAAAAAAAACATTACTTGATCACCGATTCGATTTATTGTATATTTACTCTAAATCTTCGCGTTTTGTAGCATTTTGGTAAATTTAGTCACCAGCCACTTTGAGTGGTGTTAAAAAATGTGAACCCTACATCGAGATACAAATATCGACAACACGTTGGCAGTTTTGTTCGCTTACTGTAACTGAACGAGGTATGTAGCGATCCGTGATTTTAGGCGTGCCCGCATGTTTAATTATAGATAAGTACAATGTGACGTGCCTTCGGAAAAAAAAAGTTTGACACCCATACCCTAAATACAAAACAAAAAATGTTTCAATGAATGTGATGACACTGCGCAAAGCCGGTCAGTGGGAAAGAGGGCAGATGCTGGGCTAGCCACACAGCTAGCGAGCTGACATTATATGGCATGGACGGGGGGTTATAACGTAACATTAGTGACAAATTATAATCAGTAATTTGCCTTAGATTACAAACTAAACGGTAATGAAAAAACAGCATGTGGGCATTGTGACCGGCGAGCTAGCACGCAATGCTAACTAACAAGATGCTACCTCATCGCGGGCGCGAAGGTGATTAAAAATGCGGTTGTGTCGTGTCTTTGTATTCTGTAGCTTTAAATAGCCCGCGTGTCACAAACGAAGGTAGTAATGTCGAGTTATTTGTGACAAATAATGAGCGCCATACTCACCGGCTTGTCGACGCCATAGCACAAGCATAGGTGTCAAAGAAACAAACCGCTTGGTGCGGGGGTACTGGTATTTATAGATTTTAGATCACGTGGCGTTTTTGGTACGGCGAGTCTACGAGCACAAATGACCGCAGATAAAACCAAAGAAAATGACGGTCGATATCGGTCATGCAAATTCTTGAGCCAATACAAACAATTTACGTTAAGTAAGGAAATTATATTTCATTTTCCTTTTTACTGAAAGTATACATGCCCAAATAAGTATCTTAATTTACTCATAAAACGATTAATCAGTGGAAAATTTCATAATACTGTACTTGTGTAATAACTACTGTTTTCGAACTAGAATGTTTCAACTTGGGCCACTTTATACAGACCAGGGTTCGTTTTGCATGCTCGTCCGAGATATGGAATAAAAAGCATAGCAAAACGGAAAATAAGTAGATAACAAATAGTAAAACAGAAAAAAGGGAAAAAAGAAAAAAAAACATAATTAAATAAATGACAATTAAAGAATATATATATAACTGGACTAAATTAATTACACCCCATGCAGTTTGGGTAGAAATCTCTTGAATTTGTCAATCCAATTAAAATCCCAGTTTAAGGAGTTACTATACGAAATTTTGTTACTCTGAGCCACTCTAACAGTATTCACAGTCTGAACATTTAATTCTGTGATTATTTCCAAAGATGGTATTTGTACTAAACCTTGAGAACCTTGTGATTAAACGTTGCGTGAACCTTTGGTACTTACTCACAGAGAACCGCTGGTATTCGAACTGTTAGCCGGTGTCTGTGTGACATTGTTTTTCCCGTTTTGACTTGAACGCCGCATGAGGTAAAGTTAGCAGGCAAGCGGCGTCTTCAGGAAGTAGCTTCCTTTTCATCGTCCAATCACAGGGAGAGCAAAGCACAACAGCGCTTCCATGTTGGATCAGCCTTCTCTTGTTTCTCATTCACCTGCCCCAACCTCTTCTTTTGTTTGTCTGCACACATTGTCCGGGACCAACAGGCTTCTACGGGGCTCTGCTCACCGGGGAACGAACACTTGATGGATGTATTCCCCACATTCGCCGACAAATGTCGTGTGAACCGCAAAATTGGCGAAATGGGGAACGCGAACGCAGGTTGAGGAAGGAATAACCCGGGTCCTTTAAAGCCGCAGCGGCAGTAAGTGATGTATACAGTCTAAGTCTATTTGTAATCATTAGTCCTTGTTCGTTAATAAGTATACATTTTTTTGCTGCACACACTACATTATAGAACAAAGTCAACAAGTAACCTGACTTCAGACATCATTTGCGTCTAAGCGCAAGAGGGAAAAGTCAGCCAGTTCATCCTAAAAAGGTGGGGAAGTCTTCCCTGATCACAAGAAAAAACCCCTAGCTATTCTGTTCTTTACACAGATTGTTCCTCTACTTATTTAATAATATAAACTCATGGATGTACTATGTCACAAGGCACTGTACACGTAAGTGTTGTCATCAGCGAATGAGTTTGTGCACGCAAACGTTGGTTTTATTTGAGCACCTTCAGTTTTAAGTTATCTCAGTACCAGAAAAAAATAATCTATTTTCTTGGCTCTCTTGGTACCAATAACGATCATTTACTGCTAAAAATGATCGACGTCACAAAAAAAGTCTGGAATCCAAGACTGAGAAGAAGACACTGCAATTACTGTGTCGTTTTTACACCCCCCCCCCCAGACCACATGCGTGCACACACAAAGAAGCGTGATATAAGACGTGTCGCGCTCATAATGTGACGGCATACAAAAAACACCCCGCATCTTCGTCCCAAATGCGCTGAACAAATTACGTGTGCGTACGTCATTAATTAAAGTGCGGCGTGACGTCACATTTAACGCTCTTGTTTGCAACAACCAGCAACCACTGTTACCACGAAACGAACTAATGGGGGTATGTGTCTTTGGTTTCTATTTAACACGTTCCAGATAGATATCGTACCAATTTGGCTGCTTTTGGTCAACGTTGACATGGTTAAATTAACTAACCTCAACACTCACTGTTGATAGACGATGTACGAGTCTGTGTTGTGTTTGATGGCCTCCCAGGTAATTCAGACTTCCCGTGACACTCTTACACACGAGACAACGCTGTGATTTATTGCCACTCAAATCACCCAAATTCTGATCCTGCATTCATTTTTAATGGCCAATTCACATCTCACGCTGAGTCACCATTGATTTCGTGCACAGCCTGCAACGACTAAATCAAACAGTATATAGTTTCTTCAATAATTATGTCTTCTCATAACGAGTACGCGATTCATTGATTCTCCTCCCTCTTGTTGCAGTAATGTTCACAGTGACGGAGTTTGCGTCCTTAAATGATGTCCATCCAACATACCGCATCTTGAAGCCATGGTGGGATGTCTTCATGGACTACCTGAGCCTGGTCATGCTCATGTTGGCCCTCTTTGCCATGACCATGCAGATCACCAAGGACCAGCTCGCTTGCCTTCCTTTCATGGAGGACTCACAGGAGCACTCCAGAAATGAGAGCGCACAGCAAGTAGCTGCCGCGATGAACGCCAAAGACATGTCAGAGAAAGCTGATGACAATGTCCAGACCCGCTACCAAAGTGCCGATAGGGGCAGAGAGAAATGTCCTAATCACCCTCACGCACTGGGAATCATGACCAATTTGGATTTTCAGCAGTATGTGTTCATCAACCAAATGTGTTACCACCTTGTCTTGCCCTGGTATTCCAAATTCTTCCCCTACCTCATCCTGATCAACACTATCATCCTTATGGTCAGCAGCAACTTCTGGTTCAAATTTCCCAAGACGAGCTCAAAAATAGAACACTTTGTCTCGATTCTGTGTCGCTGCTTCGAATCTCCCTGGACCACTAAGGCCGTGTCTGAAACGGCTTGCGAAGAGTCAGAGAAGAACAAGCAGAGGTTGAGCGGCACCTCCTTAGCGCAGCAGAATGCGTCTTTAGAGGGCAACGATCAAGGTTCAAGTTCCATCTCGACCTCGCCGGTGCTCGAAGGTGTGGTCTCCGCAGATAATCCCATTGCCGAAGCCCCGACGGCCACGATGCCCATCTTGGATAAAAAGGATGGGGAGCAGGCCAAAGCCTTGTTCGAGAAAGTGCGCAAGTTCCGGGCCCACGTGGAGGACAACGATTTCATCTACAGGTTTTACGCAGCTCAGACTATTTTCAAAACGGCCACATTCATTTCCATGCTGTCCTACACATCGAGCTTTTTGGTGAAAATTAATTTCATACACATCTGCGAGACCGATGTCAAAGCGCTGGTCGGGTACGGAAAGTTCTTCTGTACGCATAACATGGCTTTCATGTTAGACAAAGTGCTCATTTGTTACATCGCTCTCATGATAATGTACGGAATGGTGTGTCTGTACTCCATCTTTTGGGTATTTCGGGGACCTCTGAAAGAGTATTCCTTTGAGAAAGTCAGGGAAGAGAGCAGCTTTAGTGACATTCCCGATGTCAAAAATGACTTTGCATTCCTCTTGCACATGGTGGACCAATACGACCAGCTGTACTCCAAGCGCTTCGGCGTCTTCCTCTCTGAGGTGAGCGAGAACAAGCTGAGGGAGATCAGCCTCAATCACGAGTGGAACTTCAAGAAAGCGAGGAAGTGCGTGACCCGGAACGCGCAAGATCAGCAGGAGTTGCACCTTAAGAATCTCTTTGGGCTTCCGAATGTGGTCTTTGACCTCACCGACTTGGAGGTGCTCAAGCTGGAGAAGATTCCCGAAGTCAGATTCACGGCTAACGTCTCTCAGATGACCAGTCTGAGGGAACTGCACCTCTACGAGTGCCCCGCCAAGGTGGAGCAGACCGGGTTTGCGTTCCTCCGCGATCATCTTCACAGCCTTCACATCAGTTTCACCGACGTCGCCGAGATCCCGACGTGGGTGTTCCTGCTGAGGAATTTGCGACAGCTTTACATCATCGGCAACCTGAGCTCCGAAAACAACAGGATGGTTGGTCTGGAATCCATGCGGGATTTGAGGCATTTAAAGACATTGTGCCTGAAGAGCAACCTCCCGAAATTGCCCGCCAACCTCACCGACGTGTCGCAGCACCTGGTGAAATTAATGGTGCACAACGACGGCACAAAGCTCTTCGGACTGAATACTCTGAAAAAAATGACCAACCTCATTGATCTGGAATTGCACAGTTGTGAGCTGGAGAAGATTCCCCACGCGATTTTCAGCTTGCTCAACCTGCAGGAGCTCGATCTGAAGTCCAACAACATCCGCACCATCGAGGAGATCGTCAGCCTCCAGCACCTCAAGAGGCTGACCTGTCTCAAATTGTGGCACAATAAAATTGCAGCGATCCCGTCCTCCATCGTCCAGGGCAAGTCTCTGGAGGCTCTCCACCTCTCGCACAATAAGCTGCAGGCCCTGCCGTCGGCATTGTTCAAGCTCCCCAAACTGCAATACTTGGATTTGGCCCACAACTATATCCAGGCGCTCCCGCCAGATGTCGGTCTCCTGCTGGATCTGCTGCACCTGGACGTCACGTCAAACAAGCTGGAGACCTTGCCCAAGAATCTGTTCAAGTGCACCAAGCTGAGGGTGCTTTGCCTGGGCCACAACGACCTTCAGGAACTGTCGGAGGCCGTGGGCGAGCTGGTTCTGCTCAATCATCTGGAGCTGAAAGGCAACAGTCTGGAAAAGCTGCCCGCGCAGCTCGGCAACTGCCGCCGGCTGCTCAGAAGTGAGTTCTTGGTGGAGGATCACCTCTACATGACTCTGCCTGTGGAAATCAGGGAGAGCATCAGCCGAGACAGCAACATCGCCAGTACGAGTGTCTTATAGCTGGAGGGGTTCACAAATCTTTGAGGTCCAGGCAGAATTTCCCCCCCCCCCCTCAAAAAAACCTTTCAAACTCCTCACACCAAGTAAACATTACCACTTCACCGACAGTGAACCTCTGATACATGATTGCGAAAATCTGAGTAACTGATGCCGATCCGAATGGTTTGTAATTGCAGATGAATGACACAAGATGGTGGCAAAACAAAAAGCTCCTCCTTTCAACAGAATCGGTAGGCCAAAGATGTTATAAGATGGCGCCAAAGCTATGTAGATTTTTATTTTATTTTTTTTAAATAAGACATGGCTTTGGAGGACATGTTGCCCCTCAAGAAAAGAATGTCTGGCACTTTAAAAGAATAAAGATGAAATTTTCAGAATAAAAAGTTATAAGCTGCATTCGGAGTTAGTCCCGTTCCGTCTCAACTACCGCATATTCGAGGCTCAGCAATCGTGCATTAACGTGCAGATTTTGTGTGCCCGCGCATTTAGGCCTAAGTGATAAAAATATTGCTTTTTCACCATCTTGTGGCTTCTTGCTTTCAAGGCACTGTTGAAGTGATTTGAAGCGTTAATGCTGACATACGTAGTGCTTTGTTACCATCTTGTTTACTTGCGTTCTGAATGTATCGATGTATCCCACAATGCATCTAGGGAAAAAAAAGATTTTCAGTTTGTGGGTTATTGTCTGATTTTCGGTACAAAAGAAATTCAAGTTGAGGCACCAAAATATATGATGTTGATCTGGTACGTCATTAGTATGCGACAGCTATAACATGATAAAGAGCGTTCCTAGTAGTGTTCCAAAACGTCTTCATTTGACTGATGAGTACTATGTAGTCTACTGTACGGAAATCCTAAGTAATTATAGCATTGATATGAGTGATTACAAACACATAATATGGATTTTTATATGGCAATTTTTCCAGTTTAACAAGGAACAAAAAAAAAACATTTTACCAAGTGAATTTCAAAAATATAACTTGTCTTGGAAGAAAATGGGACTTAATTCCTGCCATAAACCTTATTCAGGTGTTTTTTGGGGGTCGGTGGGGGGGGTGGGTAAATGATGCAAATTATTTTGCGGACACCTAAACTGGCTCGCAAACCCAGTTTGACAAAATGTTTAAAGCACCAAACACCCAAGGGCTGGGCAATGAATGCTTTATTTCATGATGATGTTCATGGTTTATCTTAATTGCTCATTGTTAAACAGAATGAATGTGTACACCTGTCATTTAATCAAACCTTTGTTTTGCATCAACTATTTTCAATTTCTGATCATTCCAGACCTGTTTTTTTTTTTTTTTTAATTTATGTTGATCTTTGGTATTTTAGCCCCTCAGGAACAATTGTGTGGATGAAAATTTGCATAGGGGAATGTTTTTTTCTCTCTCCAAGTGGTTTTACTTTACTGTATTCTTCACAGCCCCCACACCCCTCCAAAAAAATCACACCTTGTCCCTTGTTCGTTGTGCTCACTACTTGAAGAATACTTTCTGCTCCTTTCATGACTAACGTTGTTAGTGGTGTTTGTTGACAAATGCCATAAAGAAAGTAGCAATTCCAGAAACTAAATCACTCGATTTTACCTTGATCCACTATGTTTTAGATATATACAGTTCACTTGCATAAAGAAATTCATGAATGTTCTCAGATTCTGTTTTCCTAGACGGGCAACACCTTAAACACGTTTTCACCATGCTTTGAAATGTCATCATGTACACGTCTTCTACTTTGACATCTTATTCTACATTCACATCAAAGCTGTTTGCCCCCCCCCCCATGTATTTTTTTTGTGGTATACTCTCGATGAATGTATTCATCCGGAGTTGCTGTATCACCTCAGTGTCCTGTGCTCAAATGTTCACAGCTTTTATGGCTCAATAAAAAAACAATGAAAGGATAAATTCGTGTCGTAGGTCATCATTTGAAGTCTAAGAATTTTAGAGATAGTAGATAATAATTTCACCGTCTAAAGTATCGTGATAGCGAGACAAGATGACACTTCATGGAGTGAATTAGGAACATTGTGTCACAAAGAAACTGTAGTTCAGATCGAGCTAGCGTGCTCCAGCATGATTTAAGGTGGATTAATGTGTATTTTGCCATCAAATGCTCCTCCATCACAGTTTTGAGGTGTCACAAAAGAGAAAAAAAAAACATGAGTGTGAACGTCACTGTTCTGCTTGATATGTTTCACTAAAAGTCCATTTGATCCACGTTTGGACAGAAATCAGTGTTTTAGGTTAAAACAAACCATGTACTGCTGGTTAACAAAAAACAATGAAAAAAAGCGTGAAACCTTTTTTTTTCCTGGTGAAACACAAATCTTTTCAATTTGCTGTGGCTCTTGAGAGATACTACTGTGTCCAACATCAATGAATACACCCACTTTGAAAATTCAACTTTTTTTTAATATATACTGACAGTTATTACAGTGCAGTATACGCCGCAGAAACGGTACTCCGTCGTAACCCGAGGACCGACTGTACGTTATTACGAATCAAACGTACTGTAGCACCACCTACTGGTTAATTAGGGGAAACTTGGGGGGGTGGCCACTTCAGTCCACACTCGCTCATTTGTATTTCTTTTGTCAAAAAAACAAATCAAACCATGAACCCCGACAAAAACGTTACTTATAGCAACACTTCACAGTTAGCAGCTACGGGGACTCGGAAAGGAGTTAGCTGGTTCAGTGAACAACAACGGAGGAGCAGGTAATTTTGTACTCGAGTAACAGTTAGCAGTGGGCTAGCCTATGTTTTGTTATGGGCAAAACCCAAAAACATGACGTACCCACTAGTATGTTCATTTCTTGTTTAACTGACATGATGAAACCACAGTGGAGGAATTTTGCGTTCATGTCTGGAGTTGTGTGGCTAAAGCCAAAAAGCTGTGCTGCTAGCTTGATACGAGTTGTACTTAGCGTTGACAAAACGACAAGCCGTGCTGAGCCTCGTACATTTACCCCATTATTGTGGTATGTCGCTTATTGTTTTAACTCTACCACTTGTCAGAGTGCCCGAGGACTTAAGAGCAAGCATGATGCATATTCCAACGAGACACAAAGCCGAGCCCAAGGGCACAATCGCGTCATCTGCTGTGGTGACAGGGGCAAGGGCTGCTCAGCCTCAGACTCAGCCAGGTAAACATTCAAAATGACTTTTGTTGTGGTGTCAGGCCAGCACATGAGAAATGTCTCAACAAGTTCAAAGTGTTGAAGTGCAGAGTTCGCGGCCACACAGAAACTGCTCAAGGTAAATTAATAAAGCACACTACGAGATCCATTTCCGGGTACTCCAGTTTCCTCCCGCATTCCAAAAACATAGTGGCTTCATGGAACATTCTAAATTGTCCCTCGATGTGAGTGTGAGTGGTTGTTTGTCTCTGTGTGCCCTGTGACTCCCCAAAGACATCTGGGATAGGTTCCGGCACGCCCGCGAACCTCGTGAGGATCAGCGGCTCGGATAATGAATGGATGTTGACTGTGCTTAAAAAGATGCCATAAAAGTGACCTTAAGTTGTTGTTTACCGTCGGGTCTGCAATCAGAAGATTGCAGTTACCACAATTAATGTCACTGAGTCAAGATAATACTTTCTCGTTTAATTTGACTTGTAGTGCAATCAACTGCCGGTAAATGGAAGTCTTCTTTCAAACTCATCGAGCCAGAAAATCCTGAAGAGGCATCACAGAGGCAGAGCAGTGATGAAAGGTCAGATCCACACGTTCATTAGACCAATATAAATACACACACACACACGGGGTGCTCACGTGTATATGATGGATATTGTACTGTGCCTTCTTGGTCACCTGGGGGTTATCAAATGCGCCCAACATTTCACAACTGACTCAGTAAGATGCTGTAAAAAAAAAAACAACAAACAAACAAACAAAAATGTGTCATTTTTCGCAAGGGATAAAGAATATATGCATTGGAGCATAGTTATATTGTCTGTCTACATGTGTTGCGCCACCGGATGTGTTCATAGATCTGTTGTCCCGCTGCAACACTGAAGCAATTTCTTAACCTGTTTGTTTTGCATTGTTGGTTAGCATGACGCTAATTACACTTTATTAAGCCAAAACTATGTTGCTGTTTTAAATGCACAACATGTACTTCATAGTTTCGAAATTTTAACTCAGAGGGGCGAGACACATCCTGATGCCTTTTTTTTTTTTTTTGAAAGATGTATTCACTGTCTGCCAAACAGCAGCTCGTTGTGAAGTGAGTTGAGTTCACTTCTTACTGTGCTGGCATTTCAAAATTTTGCTCGCAATTCAAAGCAAAACATCCTCCCTTTGTCACCTTCAGGACTGATATTTACGACCCTATCGATCCTCCTATGGAAGACTTTCCCAAAGTCAACTTCTGCGAGATAAGCTGTGACTCCCCGCCCGAGCAGGATGACAACCCCGAGTGGCAACGCTCCCTCCCCGAGCAGGATGACAACCCTGAGTGGCAACGCTCCCCCACCGAGCAGGACGACAACCTTGACTGGCAAAGCTCCCCACGCGAGCAGAACGGTAACCTCGAATGGCAACGTATGTCTCCGGACAGAAGCGGCCGTGATTCTCCCTCGTGGATGTCGGACCGAGCCTTCGACGTACATGACTTCGGCCCCGAGAGCAATCTGGGTCGTTGTCGGCTGTCTGAGCGACAGTCCTCCAGCCCGGACATGAAATTAACGGAGTTCCTGCAATACGGACGTAGTCGAAGATCTTTCAGTCCCGACAGCCGTAGTGACGGCTCATCTAGCCTACGATATGCTCCGCCTCACGGAGGAAAGAGGACCAACGGAGAAAAGATGAGCACACCTGACTACAGAAGCCCGGTATGGTAAAGAAGTCCTGCCAATTAGTCAAAATCAGTGAACCTTTATGCCCAAACATGGCTCTGCCCTTTTTCGCGCACCCCGTTTTACGCTTGAAAGTGCTGATAACACAAGGATTGTCAAAACCAAATGCCTTGTTTCCACCCCCGCAGATGATCCCTCGTGTTAGATTATCCTCGCCCCCGTTGCAGCACGACTATGAAATTAAGGAGGACCCCTTAGAAGCAGGTGAATACCAGTTTTATCTTTACGAAAAAGCATGCCATACATAATATCACCTGCACACATTCAATACACCCTGTGCCTGATGTAGCATAGCAGCCCCAGAACCTAACAGAGCCTCCTCCATGTTTCATAGTAGGGACCGTGTTCTCTTCTTGCTAAGCTTCATTTTCACATCTGTGAACATAGAGCTGACATTTCCTTGACCAAAATAAAATTTAATTGAAGACTCGTGTGATGCACTGCACCATTGACGTCCCAAACATTGTGACCATTTTTTTTCTCCATTGCAGAACCAGAGCACAATACAAAGATGCCGAGAACAAAAAGACAAATGCGAAAATCTGTACAAATGGACCAGTGAGTAACACCAACATTTCTCCATTGTGTGAAGCCAAAGACGTGGCTTGCTTGTCGATGTTCTCAATTGCGTGTACTCGTCTATTCTTTGCTTCATTCTGACACACCGTTCGTTTGATGGACTCCGTGTTAAAGAGTTAATCAGATTCCTTGATGCATTTGAATCAGTATTGAGATCTGCTCCGCTCATGCCCAAAACGCAACATATTCTTGTTGTTGCAGCACAGGCAGTTTTGCTTCCTTCTGACCTTATGCTGTTGACCGCACATTTCTTTCTTTGCCGCAGTAAAATTGGCAGTTTTTGTTTTCTCTTGTACTTGTATGTATACTGCCCGACCTGAATTAGCCACGTGTAAGTCAGCAGATATCTAGAAGATCTCCCAAATTACTCACAAGTGTTCCTGCTTCAAGTTGGCATGCAGTGGGAAATGCCACAGATGGACTAACGGAATTAACCTTGCTACTGTGATTATTTTGAACCAACTAAATCAATACAGCTGTTACTTTATCAGCAAAACCTACAAGTAGAACATCCCACACTACTCCCGGCCTCATCTATTTCCCTCTATTTTTTTTTTTTAATGGAAAATGTCTCCCAACAGGACAAGGCGGTTTCACAAACACCTTGTAATATTTTGCTTGACAATATTGTCTTTTGCAGGATCACCATCAACTGTGACCTGTGTGATGTTGAAGTCAGCAATGGGCAGGAGCTGGAGAAACATCTGCAAAGCAAAATTCACTGGGACACCATGGAGCACATCCAGGAGCAAAATAACTACGATGATATGACCATCGCCTTCCTGCAGGTGTTGGAGTCATTCGCGCCGTTAACTGTCATTACCGTATTTTCCGCACAAAAAGGCACACCCAAAAGCCTTCCATTTTCTTTAAAGCTCACAGCGCGCCTTAAAATCCGATACGCCTTGTGTAAGGTCATTACGTTAATATTTCGACCCCGAAATGGCTCCTTGCTCCAGACATGCTGACAACACAGAGTTCAAACTTAAGGCGATCGGTTACGTAGTTGAACACGGGAATAGAGCAGCGGCAAGAGAGTTCAACGTTATAACTTGCTTTTGGTTAAGTGAGCTGTGTCGCTGCTTTATTAAATAAGTTTTACTGACATCTGATCGTTCTGTTGGCGTTTCTTTGAGCGTCGCTCCATCTAGTGGATGCATTGTGGATTGCGTCTTATAATGCGGCGCGCCCAATGTATGAAAAAAATTACAAAATAGTCCATTCATTCAAGGTGCGCCTCATAATCCAGTGCGCCTTTTAGTGTGGAAAATACGGTATATCGATGCAAGTTGTTCGTAATGCTGTTACCTGTCAGTGTTCTCACCATTTAGTGTCTGTATTTCATTTTCCGTCTTTTTTTTTTTCTAATATATATTCGCAGGACGTTATGCTGTATAAAAGCATCAAGTGCAGCCGAGCCATTGATTACAGCACTCTTCAAGGTATGAATGAACTTGGCAGGATTAAATACCCTACTTTCAAACCAGTGTTTCCCCAACGACACGGCACTCAACCAAAAAGTAACAAATATCAGTCATAGATCGACGAACAAAGATATGCTATTAGTCGTAAATACATGATTTCCATACCAAATAATTGCTGTTGGATAATTTCCCACATCCTTCCAATAGTTTTTTTTTCTTTTCCCTGGTCAGCTCTGCAGGAGAATGACCACATGACAAAGGTGTCATTGTTCCACTGCGCGGCGTGCCAGGTGCTGGTATCCACGGCGGCGGTGGCTGTGCAGAATCACATCACCTCTCCGGAACACCTCTCCAACAACAAAGTAACTAAACAATCCGTCTTCATCTTGGGACCCGATTGCTGAATGTAAAGTTTTGCTCATCAAATGCTGCCGATTTTGTTGATTTCTTGAAGGAATTTGAAGCGCAACAGCGACACGCTTCACTTGCCAAAGCGGATACCATCATGAAAGAGTTGGAGCCTCAGTTTGAAAATTTCGTGAAGGTATTTTTTAAAATATTAATTAGTCACATTATCCAAATCCATTGATGTGCACTCATTCATGTTTCCTCACTGCAATTTTCTTACCAACCTAACTCATCTGTTTTTTTTGTTTGTCTATTTTTTTCTCAGGGTTTCAGCCAATTCGAATGAAAACATCCCTTGAAAGATAAACTACACCTGGTGCTATTCGCCAAAAGTTAACAACAGACTCACTTCCCTGTCATCATAACCACACACGTCAGTGCTTTTGCATAGTCAGAGCTGTAGAATTAAATCACAGATTGCTTTTCATCTGCCTGAGCCAACCTCGATGAGAAAAAAAAAATACCATCAATGAGGTAAAGTCCACTTGTGCATTTTTTTTATTTAGAACACAACTGTTTTAAACCTTGTATTTGTGATATAGTACATTTGAAAATTAAATTATTTAAAAACTGTTTCATCACTAAATATCATCAACGATGTGTCATGTGTGTGAACAGCAACTGGATGTTCCTTAAGAAATTTTAACTTGGTTCAATTAGAAACAGTAACTGAAGTACTTTTTAAAAAAATAAAAAATAAAGCATTTTCTTCCTGTCACTTTAGAATTTCCAGATTGTTGAAATACTCAAATTCCGTTCCATAAAAAAGTGACGCTGGATTTTTAAGGTTGGAGTAGAAAACAACGCTTTTTTTTTTCTCTTCATATTTTATAAATTGATACAGTAGAGGTGCTCTCAAATGTTGAAAAAAGATTGAGGTAAAAGTTGTCTTGAAAAGACACGCACTGCATGAAACAAAACTGTCCCGTTTTGGAAGTGTACTCCAAAATGGTGGAAGAGAAAACAGAAAAGGGCAAGATCCAAAATAATTGGCGTTAAGTGACGTTCTTAAAGACAAGTGTACTTTTGGCAAGTACTTGTTTGACTAAAAAAAGTGAAAAATGTACATACACATACGGTCTAGTGAAAATCTACCCCCCCTTACCCCCACCCCCCCCAAAAAAGGTGCCTGTTGTCTTTAGGAGGCATCATGTGCGGCGATCGGGTGCGAGCTCTCCGGGTCCGTCTTGACGCATGACGCCAAGTCGGTGGCGGGTAGCGAAGTGACCTCCACCATGGCCAGCCCAGTGTGGGGAACACCGGTGTTCATTATGTGTCTCTGTAAATGCTTGACCCAGTCCTCTTGGACAGACAGGGGACCCTGGAAGACCAGGTCGCAGAACCTGCAACCACAAAAAAAAAAAAACAAAAAAAAAACCACATCAGCAGCTCCATTTTTAAATCTGACAACTTACATGATCAAGAGTCCTGTAATATTTTTGCAATTGGTATTAGAAGGACTCTTTTCTGATATTTGTTGACTTGAAATGTATTTATTCATTTTTTAAATTAATTTATCTAATTAAAAAGGGAAATATCGGGAGTGTCTCATATCTCACTCTTGGGAGCGAATCTTTGAACATCGCTAGTCAATCTGGTGGTTGCGCTATTACTTTGGCTAATGCTAAATGCTATCTTGGTTGACAATTCAACAGTTGTAAACAAGTCAATGTTATCATTCAACGCTTTTTGCACTGTCCCGGGCATCTATTGGAAGCTGGCTGAGTCATTTACCTGGCAGTCCCACCCACATTCTAACCTTAGAAAGGAGCCAACAGAAACGCTCATCTTGCGTTGGGCCTAACTGGAGCATGAGGTGAGTAGGACTACATTTCCCATTATTCTCAGACATGGAACCAGGAAGTAGTTCATGTTCCGGTATGACAAAAACATGGATGCCTGCTAAGCGATTAGAATGCTCAAGGTAAATAGGAATGAATGTGAATTGAAGACGACAAACTGAAAAGCCAACATCAATACATCTTTACATCCACATTTTTTTAAAACTTACTATACATCCACATTTTAATGATGATAAAAAAATATACCTCACCTACTAATGACCTGGCCCCTCCGACTCAAATGTGGTCCTTGAACAGAAAACCCTGTCCTGGCCCCCACGAAGACAAAGAATAGTACCTTTACGAACAAATACATTTACCTGCATGTGAGTCGGTAGGTTTCCTCCGGAGTTTGCGTGAACGGAAGCACCTTCTTCTTTGAGCTGGGCCTTAAACGCTGCCTCCTCGTTTTACAGTCAAACTCTGAAAGAAACCATTTAACGTTAAGACATTTTAAAAAAAGGACAAGAGTAGGCAGGCTCGTGAATTTTGGATGGATTTCAAAGTGCCTTTTTAAAGCAACTCACTCCAGAATGATCCGGAAAAAAAATAATTCCTCGAAACTTGGGATCTCAAAGCGTCATCCTGCTCGATGTAACTCGACTTCAGGAATCTCGTGAGACTTCATCCAAGGGTGAGTAATTCTTTTATTGTATTTCTTAATCTTATTTAATAGCGGTTGGCTGAATGTAAAATCAAGTATCAGCTTTATTCAGTTCAATTAATTTTGCCGTTGTCCGATTCTTCCTGGCACGAATTCAATGCAACCATACTGCCCTTCCTGTTTTATCATTGATATTTATTTGACGCATGTAGACTTTGAAGATAAATTTAGACCGACGGTCCATCAATTAGTGCTTACCGCTTCCCTCGAGCAAGGCGATTCTTTTCCGTTTGACGCACGCCCGCAGGTGGTTCGACAGGCTGACGCCACTGTGGAAAGTTGCTTTGCAGTGGACGCACACCTTGCGGTTGAATTCCCCTTTCTCTGTAAAAGGCACAGGCGCGGATCAACGACGCAGCTAAACCGCGACAATTCACTTTTTGCAAAATAGAAATGCTCCATTTTATTTGGGAAATATGGTGATGAGTCATACTTGGCAAGGGTGGAATGTCACAAATGACAAAGACTTCATGCATTAAATTTTTTTCAGGGATCTGTATTGGACCATGTTTTCTGACTTGACTTTTCTATTCCTTTTGAAAACATATCTCCTTAATGGGCTCGCTATATTCTTTTTTTTTCACTGCAGGAAAAACCTTGATGTGATGTGAAAAATCGAGCTGTTGCACGCATGCTTGAAAATGGAGGCAATGAGGATTTTCATTGTGGCGTTTACTTGCCTGATATCGCCATCGGCAGCGAAGACGCGACTCTCGGTCCTGAACTTTGTTCAGCATTGGAGGAGACGGCAACCGAGTACCTTGATATGGGCACCGCTGACTTGGGTTTGCTGTCTTCCTGGCACTTTCTCTTCTTCAGAATTCCTATTAACGCGCTCGTGTCCGTGAGTATATCCTCTTCCTCGACCTTTGTCAGTGGTTGCTTTCTGTCAGAGTCCGTTTCCCAAACTGAAAATGGAGGCATGAGTGGTTTCACGTCGGCGCTTGAGTCGGAGTCATCTTGGGGGAATCCAAAAGCGGATGGCGTGAAATGATTAGCTCCGTAATGGAAATGATTCCGTCTCTTTCCTAGAATGTCGACGGCCCTCGAGTACTCCTTCTTGTTGCGCATCAATTCCTTGAGTACAATTAATGGGGACTTGTTCTTTGACAAATGGGCTCGGCCGATCTTTTTGAGGTGACCGCGTATGTGGTTGGACTGTCCTTTCCTATTGTCAAATATGTCCCCACATAACGGACAGGAGTGGATATCGGTCTCGGTCTCCTCGGAATCGGGCGGCAACTGCAACACTGCAACAAGACGACAAATGGCAACCGTTAAAAGACCCAACAATATAAATATGTGTTCCTAAATACTTGACACATCATTTATGAACACGTGCATAGACTGAGGACAATAGTTATTGCGGAAGCATAATGCTTGCTCCACGTGCTTTTGTTCACGGGGAAACTATATGGGGGGTTGCTTCACGCAGAAGGACGGGCTCCTCCTCCGATGACGACAAAAAAAAAAAAAAAGGCTGCTAAATGCTATTTTGACTGACACTTTGTCAGCTGTAAACAAGTCGATACACTCTCCAGATGTGCTAACTATCTGGCTCCCCATTCTCCAAGCTTGCTACTTATTGGCTCGGTCCTGCTAGCGATTGGAAGCTAGCTGTGTTGTGTACCTCTAGATCGCAATGATATTGTCCCGAGATTTCGCAATACTGCGTGTGTCTGCTTGGTCTTGTGCTGCCCCCGCGTGAAACAGTGTGTACATTATCGGCGCCACATTCGCAAGTCCGCGTAAAAGGGGCGACGACACAAAATTTGCGCTTCATCCACGACTGCGCCCGATCAACCCGCAGTGACTAAATATGGAGACGTGCTGGCAGAAATGCTCAACTCGCGTTTGGTCTACCCGTAGCACAAAAAAAGATGCTAGATAAGGTGGCATCTATATTTCGCTTCATGGCCGTGGTATTTTATTGGCAGTTGAGGAGGGCGTGGCTTCTTCAGTGGACACGCCCACAACATTTGATAGAGCAGGAGTAAAGTCTTTGGTTTTTCATCATTACATTTTGTCATTGAATCAACCCAACAGAATACATGGGAAATACCTTTTTTCATTTTCCGGAACGCCGTAATCTTCCGTCGAATTTTCGGCCTGTCTTCACAAGCCACTTTCTCGGGAGTCAGAACGTGGCGCGCCGTGTAGGTCAGTCCGACTCGATGAAGATGTCCTCTCACGTGATTGGACAAGCCCACTCCCGACTGGAAGACGGCCGGGCAGTACGGACAGTTCTTGCAGTCCGAGTCCAACTTTGGCATTTCACCCGCACAGGACTCAACCGACGGCATCGGGCGCGAATCAAAGGTTTCTTGGAATACTTCGGTTTCAACGCATTCTTCCTTTATCGTCGGCTCGCTCGCGTCCCGCTCCTCATTCTTCACTTTCTCAAAGAGCCGCTTCGATGCCTGCAGGGCACCACGTATTGACATTCGTCTGCTGTACGTATAGATGACGTTGTGATCTTCTTGACGGACACCCTTTTCAAGATCGTCTTCTTCTTTAACATGGGGAATGTCTTTTTTGTCTTCTTGCGGGTCTCCTTGGTTTAGCCCCGTCGGGCTCGGCAAAGGTTTTGGCGAGACGAAGCATGACTCTTGGTCAGAGGTGTTGCGGTACGGTGTGGACATCTTTCTTTTGGATGGAGACTTCTTAACGGGCGATTGATATGGGGTGCGCTTGGGCAAACTGTTTCTGTTCGGAACTCTGTCGGCCTCGTAGGAGGACCCCGAGAGGCCGTTTGGAGGAAAAATCACGTCTTCCCGATCGGGTGTTACCTGTTCGTAATCTTTCTTCCCATTGGTTGTATCGTGAGCAGACTTCCTCTGTTCGGCGCTATTCTGAACGCGCTTTTGTCGAGAGAGCAAAACGTTAATGGATTTGTCCAATTTGGATTGAGTGAGTTGGGACTTGAAACCTCTCTTGATCTCATGACTTTGGAATAAATCTGAAATGTCGTTTGACTGTGCGGGTGAAGCTCGTTTGGACGAGACCTGACCCTTGATCATGATTTCCGACGTCAACTCCGCGTCTTCTACGGCCGCGTAAGGAGGAAGGCGACGCTCTCCGGCCGGTCGCTCGCTTATGTTTCCAAACTGCTCGATTTCGTATTCCTTCAAATCCAGCTGGTGGCGGCGCCAGAGGTGATTTTTAAAAATGGTTTTGCTCAAAGCTTTGTAAGGACAAATGTTACAAGAGAAGATATCGTATTGATTGGACCGGGTTTGCTTTCGAACCGCTTGTTGCGAGTGCAGGATGATGTGACCCCGGAGATCGTGCCAACTCACCGCCCTGAAGTTGCATTTGTCGCATTTAAAGTTTTTCTTTTCTTTCGCGTGGGTTTTTGCATGCTGAACGAACGCGTTGGGGCAGCTCGTTCTGAACGAGCACTGAGGGCAGAAAAGCTTTGCATCGTCCTCCGTCCATTCTCTCAGGTTGTCGGGTAGCGCCGATCGTTTTTCATGGTGCATGTTGACGTGCTCGATGAGTACGGTACTTTGACTGAAAGACTCTCCGCATTCTCGGCAGATAAACGTCTTTGGCAAATGATTTGGCGGGTCGTCGTGACTTTTCAGATGGCGTTGCAAATGAGAGCGCCTCTGGAAAGTGAGCTGACATTTTGAGCAGGAATAACATGACGCTTTCTCTTCAGAATGGGAATTAAGCGTGAGCGCCCCCTTCGAGGTCGAAAGGTCACGACTCGGGTTGTCCTCTTGGGAATGTCTCCCAGTTGCGCCGCAGAGAACTTGCTTGATAGCTTTCATGGCTCCATTGGGATAACTGGGAACATTCTCCGCCTGGGATGCGTGCAGCTTGGAGAAAGTCCTCGACTGTCGGACGTTCAGAGAAATGGAGTCCACGTGGCCTTTGTCGGAAAAATTCTCGGATAACTTGTGAGTCAAACCAGGGCAAGGGTCCTCTGAGGGATCCGCCATGGTCACCAGATCCATTTTCCGTTTTCTTCTGCTCTGGCTATTGAGAGGATGCACTTCCTTTTTCGGCTTGTCACCAGAGGAATCATGGTCGTGATTCTCCCACACAAAGTGCACGAGCTCTCGACTAGGGTCCCACTTGAGCTCACTGCTACTACTCAAGTCAACAGAGGATTCCTCAGGTGATTCTCGATCGAAGCCCCAAATTCCAGCAGTGTCAATTTCATGCACGGTTTTTAACTGGGTGATGCTTTTTTCCTCCTCTTTCTCCATGGTCACGCTGTGGAACTCATCGTCCTGAGTCGCCTCGTGGAAAGACAGTCCATTTCCCAAGCCGACTGGAGACAACATCTCAGCGTTGGACAGAACATCCAGGACACCGGACTGCTTGCGGGAAGGTGTGAAAAAAGATTCATTGCAAGCGGTTGAGTCTTCTGTCATTTTCACAGAGTCTTGCAGAAGGATGAGGGCAGCGATGTCAGGATCTGCATCTTTGTCATCTCCATCGACACCAGACAGACATGACATTTCAGTTGCCATGACCTAAAGGAAGTAAAATACGTCAAATAAATTCAGAATTTTTTTAAATCGTGACAACATCGATGCTATTCCATGAACAATTCCTGACAGATTTCTTTCAAATTGCCTGTAAGCCCGTCGCTCCTTGGCCGATTACTGATTTGACGCTTTAGGGCGATTTTAAAACCTGTATGTCACAAGTTAGAGGCGTTAAAATTAATCGAATAATCAACAACTACTCAATTATCAATTTAATCTACAAATGTTTAAATTATTGCATAAATGTTTTATCATTTATTTCAGCCTCTCAGCAGTAATTATTCTCTGATTTCTGTAATCCTTCATGAAAGCAGACTTTTGTGTTGTTTTATATGTTTGCGTGGAGGCGTGACTCGATATTGTGATTTGTGCGCATGCATCATTTTCATGGATGCAATCGGTTCAGATTAAAAGTAGCATTTGTATCTGTAATGTGAACGACAAACAAAGATTTTAATTTAACAAAAGAAAAACACATTTGAGCATCATAATTTGCAATGTCAATGTAGCCTTTATGACATTTTTTTTCTGATGTTTGTTTTTGTTTTCCATAGTCTTTGCTCAATAAAGGTTGGGAAACACTGACTTAAATGAACTTTTTTTTTTTTTACAACCAAGTACAGTACTGATGTCTCTGGGCAGAAATGAAATCAGGTTATTGAAGAGTTACTGGTCCAACATCAGCTGTTTTAATGTTTTAAAAGCCAGCCTACAAGCTAATACAGCATAAATGACCATGGCTTGAATATTTAATTGTAACCATTTTCTAAAGAACACAAGGTAGGAGCCAGAGAGGTATGGGAATTGATGGGCAATAAATGTGTCATAACAACTCAGTGAGGCAAAAAAAAAAAAAAAAAAAAACGATGAAAAGTTCCAGACAAAATTGTGAAGGGCTAAATTACATTAATTTATCTCGCTAAACGCCTGTGAATTATGTGTAAAATTGAAACTTGCGTCACAGTAGTTTATACATGTATACCGGCTCATAATGTTGATGAGATACGTCTCCAGAACAGCTTGGCTGATTCGCATTGTTTTGTTTCTTAGAAGACACGTCATCTTTAGCTGTAATATTCGTATGTATTGTTGGATGCTGCTTGGCAATGAGCTGCAGACCATTTCCAACAAGGCTGCTCCATACCCCCTCCCAACCCCCCCAAAACCTCATTACCTAGGCTAAACTAGAGCTAATGACAAAACACCACTCGCCACATTCGACACGGGTAACGCGGGAATGTTGGGAGACAAAAAAAAACAGGCACACATTACCCCTCAAAGGTGTGGATGGAGATTGGAGACGAGGAATATCGTGCATTTGATAATTTCTGACTTTCGTCTTCCATCTACTTCACAGTCGCCATTTTCCGTGGTGGTCTGGTGTGGCACAGATCATTTTTTGAAAATTGGGTCGTCGTGAATACGTCTGTCTGCCAGGCAATAAAGCCAACACACTCACCATTCTTGGCGTTTATACCAGTGGGAAACGTACTTAGAAAATCTGAATAAAAGTGAGTGGAATTACCGTCGCGTTTAATTTAGTCACGCAATACTACGAGTCAGTGCGTGCACCCCTGCGAGACGTACGAATGGTTTGTTCCAAATAGGAGGCATAAAAAGGAGTTAATGAGCCTTTCCCTTTGGTGAAATTTTGGTAGCTTGATGACTCATAAATATACATTGGTTTAATTGGCGCAAATCTCGGTTTGTAGCTGAGTTTTTCCTCATAAAACAAAATAAAATCATTTGATTGTGTATATAAATTTTGTTCTGTCATAGTTTATGAGCATAGGATGGTCTTTGTTGCTGTGCTGCATTGATGGTTGTCAGTGTATGCGTGTTGAGTGTGTGTGCGCGTGTGCGTGTGTTTGTGTGTGTGTGTGCGTGTGTGTGTGTGTGTGCGCGCGCGCGCGCGTGTGTGTGTGTGTGCGCGCGCATGTGTGTCTGGTCACGTTTAATTAGTGGAACTTAAATGAATCCCATTATTTTGTCATTTTAATTTACATTTAGGCCTTTCAATTGCAGTCCTAAATGTGCCTGATTTACGCCGTCAGAAAAAAAACTGCTTCCAATTATTTAGCCAATATCCCAAATTATGCCAATAATATAGTAAATAAAATTCCACTGCCTGCTCATTAAAAATATTAAGGTGACAATTAATGAGTTGGACAGGGATTTGAAGTTCGTCCTGTTCAGACTGGCAAGACTTGCGACTACTAAAATCTCTCGGTCACGTTCGGATAATTATAGCATCGAAGGAAACCATTTATGAACAGAGGTAGAGTAATCAGAAAATGACATTTGAAGAGGGAATGTTTTGTACTTAAGAATTAAACAGTTTGTTCCTAATACGTCTAATTTTTTAAAATAATATGCTAACTATAGACGTTCCGCACTACTCTACTTGGCGTATATTATTGCTCGCAATTAGCAACGCTAACTCCTTTTCAGTCTGCTCTGAAAATTATCGCGCCAGTAATAAAGAATGTTTAGTGTCTCATAAAAAACATGAAGCATTTCATTTATCATTTTTTAGCAAGGATATCTATCTTTGTGTAATATATTTTACAAACATATAACGTCTCGTTTAAATAAAAAATAGTGACAGTTGTTAATATATGAATAATGTGCGAAAAGACAGGCGCGAGAGTAACGGCTAATTTAAGTAGCACCTGTTCACACAGATTCAGATGTAAATTACTATTAAATAATATGAAAATATGTAGTTCTGCTAATTACGAGGCTATTTTTAAAAGTTTGAATATTGTAACTTAAAAAGGGAACGCTTTCCTGTCAAATTTACACATATATCGTTGAATCTAATAGGGTCCTTATACTCAACACAAGCCGCAGATCACCACCAGAGTAAATCACAAGCAATATTTGCATTATGTCAATATTTACTGTAGATAAACTATCATTTTAGCATGTCACTAGACCTGTTAAACTATCATTTTAGCATGTCACTAGAGCTGTAAATAGTTTTTTTTTCTGACAATGGCACTTATAATTACACTATGCTAGATGGCTGAAGCTACAATTAACCCAGGGGTCTCCAAATCCGGTCCCCTGGACCCCACATCCAGCCTGTTTTAAATGATTGAATAGCTCCAACATGCCTCATTCAAATTAGCAATCCTTAACAGGCTTGTGTAAAGCTTGTAGAGGAGCTGAACATTTAAATCAGTTATGTTGGAGTAGGGAAACACATAAAACAGGCTGGTCAGACTTGGAGCCCCCTGAGTTAAGCTATGGATGCACCTGTCCATCATTACAACACTAATAGCTATTGTGTTCAACTAAACAGTCTCAGATTTTCAGTAAATTGAGACAAGAGCATCATTATTTCAGTGTTCAGTATATATATATATTGGTGACATTTCTCTTGGTGTGGTGTACTGTGAGATTTTTCTCATATCAAATCCGTTTTGGCTCAAAGGTTGAAAAGTACTGCACTAATGAATAAGATGCTGGACTCGGATGACTGCGCCTTGTCCTTGGACAATCTCTTTTTTGAGAAACCTATAGTCCACAAAGTGTGAGTACAACCAGAAAGCCCTGCAACTCACTCTCATCCCTTTTATTTCATTTAATATTGTGCCCCTTTTGGTTTGTAATCAACAGAAAGCCACTGAAACGAGTGGTCAGTCCATGGCAAGTGGAAGCACCGCCATCTCTTTCCCAGATTCCCGCCACTCAGGTTTTGCAGGAAGAGGCAGAGTCGCTCACTACCCTGTACAGTATGTTCTGCTCTGGATTAGGGTGTATTCTTTTTCACTTGACTTTCAGAAAGAACACCTCTCTCTTTGCCTTGCAAACAAATTGTGATAAAAACCGTTGTAAGAAGTATTCACATAATAACTGCAGTGCTATTCAGTTCTTCTAACAGCTCTAAATTCACAGGTCTCCAACAAAGACTGTCAAACAATCTCATTGAGAGGGAAAATGAAGAGATCCAAGACAGCGCCCACAGCAACTGTAGACCCGAAGGCCTTTGGGGAGGTGAAGGTTTTAGGGACCTCTGTCATGGTCCCAATCAGACTAGCATTGATGAAGGTGGGCATGATACTGATCGAGGAACCATCAGCATGAAGTATTTATCTGTGGATGACCGAAAAGGACCACCTCTGCAGAGAAGGCAAGTCTGAAGCTTCTTTGTTTCAGGATTTTTCACTATGCCAAACTGATTTTTGTTGCAGAGTGAATTGAGCTCCCTGCCGCCATACAATGCTCACAACGCAATGTTTTGCTGTCAAGTAAAAAAAATGTTCCAAACGGCATCTCATATTAGTCGGGTCACTCATCGTATCTCAATGCATCACCGTATAACTGAAACAACGCTGATGTGGGGTGCTAGAGTGGTGGCGGAAGAGCATTTATTCGTTCCTCCTGTCACGATATGTCGCTGGCATAGATAGTTGAACAATATGTAGTCAATAAATAATCCTTTTTGGACCAATTTAATTATATTCTGTAACTGCCGGCACAGGGTTTTGGTGTTTTCACTGGTGTATTTCCTGAAGCGGCTCAATCTTCAGCTTACTAATGTTACTGGAAGCCTGCTTTTAAAATAACCTCCACACTGGACTGCAGCTAAGTCTTCATCTTTTTTTTCTTGCTGTGCTCCCGCCTCCCAACAGCTTGTTCAAGGTTCCCGTGTCAAAGCGCGGAGGTGACTCGTCAAATGCAAACGACCTCTGTAGTAGTCACACAGCATCCGGACCACAAACTTTTCTCAGTTCGGTTGCCATGGCAACAGCGCCTCCTCCTTTTCAGCCACCGAGGGTGACATTTGGCCAAGCCGCTCCTCCTTCCCCCTTCCAGCCAGCCTCACTCCTCCCCCCTCCTCTGGTCTCATCTGCAATGAGCGTCAATCCCCCCCAGCAGGCGGCCCGTGTAGAAAGGCAGGACAAGGGCACAATGAGAGCCTTGCTTCCACCTGCCGCGCCCCAGCCGCTCCACATCCAAGGTGCTGCACTGCAATGCCACACTTTTAAAAAAACTCACCTCAGAAGAACACTCCAATTGATCACTATGTAGCCTCAAAATAAGGTTGCGGCTAACAACCATGCAAATGTGCAGCCATGGCAGCAGCTAGCACGATGTGCTTGGGTTGCAATGAGGTGAACTGGGGTGAGCTCCTCCATTGACTGTCTAGCTGTAGGTGAACGTGCTTACCACTAGGTGGTAGAAAGGAACAGTGGGCAGAAAGAGAAAATATTTTTACCAGTGTGTCCCAACCTTGATTGAGCCATCGCATATACCCATCCATCCATCCATCCATCCATCCATCCATCCATTTCTGATCCGCTTTATCCTCACAATGCTTGCAGGGGGTGCCGGAGCTATCCCACCTCATATAAATTTACTTAAAAAAAAAAAAATCTCACGACACACCACCAAACAAAAATTTCACAAAACATATATACAACAAAGTACGGAAAAGGTACACAAAATTTTAATGGCTGGATTGTGTGCTTTGTAGGGACTTCAGGAGCTGACATTTTGCGACCAGTCTCTGAAATCCGTATCCTTTTTTTTTTATAGTAAACCACAATTATCAAAGACCATGTAAAGTGGAAATCAATGTCTTCTAAATTTGACACACTCACGCCGAACTCCAAAATGCGTCACGTGATGCTATTTTAGCCACGACCAAAAACTGAATGGTTGAAAAACAGTTTAACACTTTATTTCCACAATTGAGTACGATATAACTCTCAGTCTTTCTTCTGCAAGCAATCTGTAATGTATTTACAAACAAATCTCCAAAATCACCTTAAAGGGCCTTTAAAATGAAATGTTTTATGCTTCGGTTTTCACAAATGCATTTTCATTTCCTGACCCATGCGAACAGCAGCTAAGTTCAGACAAGTCTTCAGCGAGTTCCCCTTTTTCAACTACGTCCAGTCTAAGGCTCTAGACGACGTAAGTATTCTTTAAATGGATTCCTCTTTAAGTTTGAGAGAACTGAATTTTATAATTTGGTCATCTCAGATTCTTTACACAGACAAGAACTTTGTGGCATGTGCTCCTACCGGATCTGGTAAAACTGTCCTGTTTGAATTAGCCATCATTCACCTGTTGATGGAGACCTCCGAGCCCTGGAGAGGCGTCAAAATTGTATATAGTGAGTTTTCGGTAGATCTCGTTTCAAGTTTACACGTCATACAGAATTCACACAAATTGTGAGGGTGAAAGAAAACGGTCGGTATTGGCTTCATGAGATCATTTATTTCAATAAGTGCATTTTTATGTTTGATTGTTTTTGCTTGCCAGTGGCCCCCATCAAAGCTCTCTGTAGTCAGTGCTTTGAGAACTGGACAAAGAAGTTTGTTCCTCTGGGGCTGAACTGCAAGGAGCTGACGGGCGACACAGAGATCGACGACTTCTTTGAAATCCAGGACTCGCACATCATCTTGACCACTCCAGTGTGTGCAGTGAAAGGGTGGTGGGCGAGTGGTGCAAAAGGCTTACCTGAGTACATCTTATAACGATCTATTCCTTCTCCAGGAAAAATGGGACAGCATGACCAGGAGGTGGAAGGACAATTGTCTGCTGCAATTGGTCAGACTCTTCCTTATAGATGAGGT